CTCCAGATCCACAAAGACGGCTCGAGGAACGTGTTTTCCAGCTCCAGTCTCACTGAAGAAGGTGTTGAAGGAGTCGTCTCCTCCTCCGATGGTCTTGTCACTTGGCATCTGACCATCAGGCTGGATGCCGTGCTCCAGGCAGTAGAGCTCCCAGCATGCATTGCCTATCTGAGCTCCAGCTTGGCCAACATGGATGGAGATACATTCACGCTGCGAGTACAAGAAGTTCAGATTTTATTGTTCATTTTGCAACTGTAGTTCCAACCACAAAGGTCATTTAGATCATTTGTTAAATCATGTGCAAAAGTGTGTGTCCCTTTGAGAGGAGGTGTCACACAAACCCTTTGTCTCTTATTTAGCGAGTAAAACTGACCTAACAGTCACTGAACAAACAGTAATCACAAAGTTGGTGGCAGGAACATTTTAAAATGCTCTAAAGACTGTGTCCCACTTTATTTCAGCAAGATTATTATTTTTTTAAATATCCCGATAGCCAGCTATTCTTTGCAGAGATCTAATTGTAAAACATGAAGACAAAAATTTCAGCTATTTAATCTGACAGGCCTCCAGCATTTCTTATCATGTCCTTTTCAATAAGTTTTAGTAAGATTACTTGTGTAAAACTTAAAGAATAAAGATTTCCTCACCATGTTTACGATGCTTGAAACAGTCCCTTGTCACCTGTAATGAGTAGCTGGGGATGTTGTGTTAAGTACAAGGGTGGGACGTTGCTTTATAGTGCCCCATCTCTAGGCAACAGCCTGGCCTGTTGTGGTAACTGGAGGAGCTGGGGAAGCAAACACCGTGCCTTTTGATGAAAGATGAGGAGGAAGGAGCACAAAAATCATCTGGTATGCTCCCCTGCACAGATCTAACAAACAAGGGCTGTTGTTACACAAATGAGTAACCACCAACAAAGACCAGAGTAGCAGTGAAATATGACCCATGTCTGTTTGCCCTCCCCTCAAATTATATGCCTTATATTTAAGGCATGTTAGCTTTTGTTATCTTGCACTGAACAGGTACATGTTCAAACTTGCTCAAGGACCCTTAAACAGACATTCCTTCCTCTGCTGAAGGCCCTGATCTTTCCGTTATCCGACATAAAGGGTTTGTGGATATAAGGACAATACTGTAATGTAGCACTGATAAAACAAAAACTTGATACTATTGACATAGCACATTTGGAGCCTCTCTTTTCTTATCTTGAAGGAGGAGAAAATAGATACCTCCACCGAGTGGCCTACATAGGCTTTTGTTACAGATAACTGCTGCATCACTCCTTCGGTCCAGATTCATTTGCAATGCAAAGTTAGCTGCCTGCCTGGGAGCACACTGCAGCACACTTCTCTCAAAGGAAGGTGACATTTGAGATCAGTGTTTCTTTTCTAATAGATAACAGAACATTACTGTACATAATACATACAGTATTTCCACTCAGTTTAATAACACCACAGAAAGAGGAAATTAACTTGGTGCTTGTAGTGAATTGACTAGATCCGTGCAGTTATTAAAAGTGAAGATTTACAAAGAATTATGATCTCTACCAAGAATTTTCTCCTGACGGATCAAGGCCAGCATTATGTTTGAACGACTATGAGTTAGTCAGAGTGCGTTGGACAGCTGCTGATCTTTAAACAAATATGTTAGCATTGTTTTAATGGGAAAATTTATTAGGCTACATGATAATTTGCTATCATGTCAGAGCTTTTCCCTACTGGTGTGAACACTTTAGAAAATCATATTCAGTGCTAGAACTATTGTGTTAACATCAATGTACTCTGTAGTTTGAGTTTGAATGGCTGTTATATGGCTAATCCCTCTATCTGCAGGTAACCGTAGAAACATAATAACAAACGTCTAAGTAAGAATTGCCTGAACATGCTCCCTTTTAGTTTCCCCAGTTACTCCTTTCTGAAGCGTTGTTTGCGCTCAGATGGCTGCTGACCCAAACATGCCAGTCAGAGGTGTGTGTGCACTTTAAACAAAGGCAACACTCTGCAGGAGTACACTTAGAAACAACACATCAGCTCACAACAAGAAAGCTGCAACAGAATTTGAATCATTGTTGTGTTTTGTTTTTACAAACTAACAGGACAAATACTTAACATTATGCTTTATTTTCCCTTCAGTATTCTTGATTTAAAGTATAAAAGAAATAAATAGAGTTTCATGACAACTGAATTCGTTAAATGTTTTAATTGTGAGGATACATATTGGGATAACACTTTTTGTCCTATTCCCCCTCTTCCTCTCCTTCGTCCCCGATGCTGAATTTAGGACCTGTCGGTTATTGCAAATTTAATATTCTTCCCCCTCTTCCTCTCCTTCATCCCCGATGCTGTCAGTGCCCACCTCCTCATAATCCTTCTCCAGAGCAGCCATGTCCTCTCTGGCCTCTGAGAACTCTCCCTCCTCCATCCCCTCTCCAACGTACCAGTGGACGAAAGCCCTCTTGGCGTACATCAGGTCAAACTTGTGGTCAAGTCGAGCCCAGGCCTCTGCGATGGCAGTGGTGTTGCTCAGCATGCACACGGCCCTCTGCACCTTGGCCAGGTCTCCTCCAGGAACCACAGTGGGGGGCTGGTAGTTGATGCCCACCTTGAAGCCTGTGGGACACCAGTCCACAAACTGGATTGTGCGCCTGGTTTTGATTGTGGCGATGGCGGAGTTGACATCTTTGGGCACCACATCTCCACGGTACAGGAGGCAGCAGGCCATGTACTTTCCATGACGAGGGTCACACTTCACCATCTGATTGGCTGGCTCAAAGCAGGCATTGGTGATTTCAGACACTGAGAGCTGCTCATGATAGGCCTTCTCTGCTGAGATAACTGGGGCGTAGGTGGCCAGAGGGAAGTGGATACGAGGGTAGGGCACCAGGTTGGTCTGGAACTCCGTCAGGTCCACGTTCAGGGCTCCATCAAACCGCAGGGAGGCTGTGATGGAGGAGACGATCTGTCCAATCAGCCTGTTGAGGTTGGTGTATGTGGGACGCTCGATGTCAAGATTCCTGCGACAGATGTCGTAGATGGCCTCATTGTCTACCATGAAGGCGCAGTCAGAGTGCTCCAGGGTGGTGTGGGTGGTCAGGATGGAGTTGTAGGGCTCCACCACAGCTGTGGACACCTGGGGGGCTGGGTAAACAGCAAACTCCAGCTTGGACTTTTTGCCATAGTCAACAGAGAGACGCTCCATCAGCAGAGAGGTGAAGCCAGAGCCGGTTCCTCCTCCAAAGGAGTGGAAGATGAGGAACCCTTGGAGCCCAGTGCACTGATCAGTCTGCAGGAAAACAGAAACAGATAATTCCCTCAGTACTTGATAACAGACTGAGCTGTTTATCAAGCTTTTGCAAGAAAACTCACCAGTTTGCGGATCCTGTCAAGAACTAAGTCAATGATCTCCTTGCCGATTGTGTAGTGACCACGTGCGTAGTTGTTGGCTGCGTCCTCCTTTCCAGTAATCAGCTGCTCGGGATGGAAGAGCTGGCGGTAAGTTCCTGTACGGACCTCATCTGGAAATGTTAACAGAAAAAACTTCAATTAATCAATTAATTCCAAATGTTTATATACAGTCCGTGTGGGAAAAAAACATTTTTTACCAATCACTGTTGGTTCTAGATCCACAAAGACGGCTCGAGGAACGTGTTTTCCAGCTCCAGTCTCACTGAAGAAGGTGTTGAAGGAGTCGTCTCCTCCTCCGATGGTCTTGTCACTTGGCATCTGACCGTCAGGCTGGATGCCGTGCTCCAGGCAGTAGAGCTCCCAGCATGCATTGCCCATTTGGACACCAGCCTGACCAACATGGATGGAGAGGCATTCACGCTGGAGGAAAAAAAACAGATGTTCAGTTAGACAGGTGTTAAACTTGTGTTATCTCTCGATGCAAATTACTCAGCACATTTTATTCAAACATCATGGAGCTTTTTCTTAACATCGCAAAGTTCATACACTTGAGAGGCGTGAAACTGCAGAGGCTTACCATTGTTATAATTTTCAGCTGCTGATGTTGAGTATCTGCTGGAAAATCCTCAATCAGTTTGTCCCCAAAGACTTCTCCTGTACTTATAGTTCGTCCAAACTCTATGGTTACAATGTTTGTTACCATAAACTGGGGTTAACTTGGTTTAGCAGGGGGGGAAAGCAAATAACACATTATGCAAACATGGGCTGCCACACTTCAATAAGCCTCCTTCCTGCTCAGGGGTAATGTATAACTCAGACCCACACAAAGAGCAGGCACTCAGGACTCAATTTAGTCACAGCAAACAGGGCAGTGTTTGAGTATTTGTGGAGAACACCGAGATTAATGAACGCAAAGCTCTGTAGGGGGTCTGATGTCTCCATAGAGATCTAGACTCTGTCAAGGAGTGAAACCACAAAATATTTGTGTGCAGAATTAAACAAAAGCTGGAGCAATCCTTCACATAGCTGAAAACTTAATTTAACTTTAACTTTTTAATTAAATGCATTTCATAGGCATGTAAAATAATTAATACACTTGTGCAAAAGATGAAATTCTTCATCAATGCATACATTTAATTATTCTGAATGATTGGACCTCCAGTCTTGCCTCTTTACTGCAGTTTGATCTGCTGTTGGGGTAGAGGAATTCCCCCCCCCCCCCATACACACACCACGATGCCTGGCTGGGCTGCTCTGTTGTCTTTCCACATGATTGGCTGTCCTGTTGTTATAGAAACACTGAAGGTCACACTGCTGTCGGTGGGAAAGTCAGCGGGAAAGTATATTAACAGGACAAGAACGCCCAAGGTCTGATCTTTATCAGCCTGGCCTGGTTAAGAAATTACAAATTTCAAATTGGGCTGTACCTATTTTTAAAGTGCTTGTTTGGTGTTTTTTTCAATGCTCCATACTCTCTAAAAGACATGATGTTAATAATTGAGTTTAAAAGTGTGTGATAACCATGTAAAAGAAGACATCACAGCAGATCCAGAACTGAGTAAAAGGTGAGACACATGTATCACTTTGACAAGGCACTTGTTGTTTCATTCATCTTTAATGATTGATTTAATCCATCAGACGGTGCAGTAGTTACCACTCTGACCTTTTCCTCCCTCATTCATTCCACACAATGTAAAAATGAGCTCTGCATGGGTTTCGTTAGCTACTGCAGGAGGCCTGGTTTGAGTTACTTTGGACAACAGGTTCATTGTTTTGAACTAAAGTTCTGAATGCTTCAGTCTCTTGTAAGTTTTCTACCATCAACAAAGTGTCTTACAGCAGTGATGAGGTCTTTTCTGGTGAGAAGAGATTCAGAGTCAAGACTGTCCCCTCCTCAAGTGCACAGGGAACCAGATTTAAATGCATAAACACATTTTTAAAAGAGTTAAATAACATGTATCCTGTGTAGGGAAGGAGGAAATATAATCTAGTATGAAGAAAGAAAATCTGCGACTAAGTTTCAGAGTGAGATTTTGCATTTCATTCACCAACGAAAAGATGATTAAAATTCAAAATAAACCATATGTGCATTTGACAACTGAAGTCACACATTCGCATAATAGCCAATGAAATAAATGAAAATCTACTGTTCCCTCTGATGATCCTACATGAAAAGAAACTGTGATGATTTTGACAATGCAAGGCGTCGCCTGCACACACTGTTTATATTGCTGGAGTTCCACAAGACTCTATTCTCGGACACCTGTACATTTCAGACACCCAGAGCCACCTTAAAGACCGAAATGACAATACAATCAAATGCTTCATGCAAGAAACTGCTGACAGTTCTCATAATTGTTCAAAAGTCCTTCACAAAACAAAACATAACATAGTTTGACATTCATACAGTACATCATGACTCATTTTTATGTTTCTTTTGAGTTCAGCAAAAAAAGAAATAATGCAGGAATAAGAAGTCAAAACAAAACAATCAATACGTTTGCTTTATTGTGGGAGATTTGACTAAAACTTTGAGATGACTGAAATATTTCCACAAGGTGATGATTTTGTAAAACATATTCACTCTCCTCTAAGCCCTTTTAATTTGCTGAACATAAACGTGTTTATAATAACTGGCACCGTTTTTAACTGTGTAAAACCTTTTGGTATCAGTGAAATGTTTAGTGCACATTTCCAATCATGCACCGATGCTTTCTGGTGTGTAGACATTTAGTAACAACCAAGTCTTTTCCCGTTAGAGATATCTGAGGAGTTCTGGGAACAACATGGGGTCAAAATATTTATGTGGCCTCAACCTCAAACCTTCTGGGTAAAGTTTTCAGGGAAAACGCCTTTGGCTGAAATATCTTTGCTCTGAACCCAGTGAGACTCCTTTACACCCAACAGCCAGCCATCGTCCTGCAGAAAGACAGAATACAAATTAAGTTTATTGCTAGAATCTTCAAATTTCAAATAATGCAATAGTGGTTAAAATAAAACACAAGGGTTTATATTTAGACCAAACAAAAACATATGGACACAGGAGTTTCTGCTCTACTGCTGCCTGGTTCAGTTATGCAAACGTTTTATATCTTTTGATTACAACCACATGAAAAGATTAACTGTGAAAAAAAGTATTAGTAGTGACCTGTTCATCAGGGTTGTCAAAGGCCAAAACGAGCACAGCATCTCCCATCTTCAGCTCCAGTTCATCACCGTCTGTGGCAGCATAATCATGTATCGCTTTCACCTGAAGAAAACACAAACGAATGTGAAGTTTTGATTGATTATGGACTATGTGTGACCCAGTAACATGTATTCAATAAAAACATAACTTTATTATTAAGAACTAAATTATTTTAAGGCACTAAATTTTCTTACCTTGTAGACGAAACCCGGAGGAAGGTCCCCTTCTGAGCCATTGGTCACCGCACTCTGCATCAAAAATAAAGAGGGAAAGGTCCAAATGAGTTATAAAAGAACTCAAAGAAATGGTTTATGTTGTTGTTAAGATGTACTAAAGAAAGTTGGGAAGTAAGAGTACAGAAAAAGTAAGAAATGAAAGAACGTTTGGGCCTGTACTGAGATTCCAAAGTTTTTTTTAACTAGTAATGTTTTCAAGATCCAACCGAGGTCCCACCTGCATCCCTATCCTGCAGACCCCACCCGTACCTCTCCATCATCGCCCCAGCCACCCTGTCCCACTTGGGCTCCATCATCGTCCCACTTGGGATCTGTGTACGACTGAGCAGCAAATCCTCCATCGTCGTTCCAGCTTTCTTGACCCTGAGCTGTTTCTGCATCGTCCCAGCTCGGCTGTGCGTAGCTCTGCGTGTTGCCTTCATCGTAGTCCCAGCCACTTGGGCCTCCTCGGGGTGTTGGGGATCATCCTGATCTGTGGGGGTCTGCTCTTGCTAACGGTCAGGATTTAGGGAGCATTGTGACGGGTTTGGAAGCAAAAGGAAAGGCAAGTAGGAGGAGGAGAGGAGGTTGATGCCAGAGGAGTTGTTGGATCGGAAGGATTTAATAAAGGATAATAAAGGTCAAAGCCCAGGTGATGTGAGAGGAAGGTGGTTTGGTAAAAAGAAGGATGCAGTTGGAGTGTTATCCCACCATCAAAGTCCATAAATATGTAAAAATGTAGAAAGAAGATTCTCTCCATAGGCAAACTAACAACAGCACATATCTAGTTTTCTTTTTATGACATTAGAAAAAAGAGAAAAACTTTTCTCTGGAGCTGAGCTTACCCATGAGTCCCATGATGGCGCCTTCAGTGAGGCATTAAAAAACAAGACAATACAGAAGATGAAAGTGTGCAAGAAGATGTCTTTAAATCTGAATTATACAATATAAGTTTAATGTATGTAATGGAATTATTTCAGACTCAGAGAAGGTTTGCAGATTCGCTTGAAATACATCTTAAGCAATATTTAAACTGTTGCAGATTAAGTTTCTTTTCATGCACTAATCGATTATCTAATTTCAAAAAGACACAACACCGAAAAGAGAAACAGAAAGATGCATCTTTAGGCTTCAAATGTAAAGTGTGGCTGTCACTCCTGTGTCAGCAAGCGTCCTTGAATATATACCGGTACTTTGTCCATTAACACACACATTATTAATGAAAAGTAGAACAAACACTCACATGCAAAGCGAGGCTGAACGGGCACTCATGAAGAAAGCCATGCAGTGGATTTGTTTAAGTGACAGTGAACAAAACTGGAGGGTTATTTCCTCACAGAATGCACTCATTAAAAGGTTTGTGTGTGATTACATGCAGTTTTATGTTTAAATTCTTCCACCCATCCGATATGCAAAACCATTTTATTCCATGAACATTTCAGCTGTGAAACGGTTCAGGTTTAAAATTGTAAAGTGTGTCTTCAATGTGAAGATTCAAGAGTTTTGAAAGATGTTCTCCACTCAGAAGGAAAGCTCTTTTGAGCTGGAATAAAAATATAATGAATGAAATAAAAACGTGTAATTGATTTGAGGGTTTTGTGTGTAAACACAGCTTTTAAAACCCACCACCCACCTTGGGAGCTTGACCCGTGATGGGCTGTAAAACCTCCACATCCCAATCCAGCAGGTTCAACCCTGACCAGGGCTCACTCTGCCTCACACACACACACACACACATACATACATCCACACATGAATCCATACACTCAGGTTAGGAGGGTTTACTATCCGGGAAAATATTGCTGTTGACATTCAGCACAGTGGGCGTTCTAGGAATATCCCAGCAAACCAAACAGAACTTGATTTATTGTATCTTGTATTTTTGACGCACTGCAGGTTTTTAAAGTCACACAGAAGGATCTCCAGTCTGACCTGCTGTGTTGTTGTGGAAGTGCAGTCTGTGTTAGCATCAGGCACTGTGGGTTCGGCCTCGGCCTCTGCCACTGCCTCATCCTCGTCCTCGAACTGCTCGGCATGCCGCTGTCTCTGGTCCGGGGACGGCGTGAGTCTAGGTGGAGGCCGACTAGGAGGAGGACCGGGCCTCTTCACCACCAGCAGGGTTAAACGTCAAGCAAAAAAATCAAACATACATGCCAGCATGCAGGAGGATGCAGAAGAGATTAGTCTACACAACATGATCTTATTTGGTTAAATGGTGGAAGACTTAAAAGCATTGATCATGTGTTTTTAACCTTATCAAAAGAAGTTGGATTTAACATTCATGTTTGTGACTTCAGAAAGTGAGTTTTTTGATCTCGTCTTCTTTTGGGTTCTTTGTTCAATGAAGATATTGTGCAAGAAGCTCCTCTTCACCTTGATAAACTCTTAAATATCTTTGTCGTATTTTAAATCAATAAACCAAAAATAAGGAAAAATACAGTTTATACATTCATGTAGACAGTTTGTTTCTGATTGTTTTTACCTTTGGTGCTGAGCTGGCTGACTCGCTGTGGTTGGCTTCCTCACTAAGAGAAGAAAAAACAAAAACAAAGAGAGATCAGGTATGAGCGTGAAAATAGGAAGAAATATGTGGCAGGGTCAGAGAAGAAGTAGGACGGCAGAAAAAAAGAAAAGGGAGAAAAGAGGAAAGAGATTTGCGGATTCAAACCTATTGCACATGAAGTTCTGTGCTTCCTCCACAAGAGTGCGACAAAACACTTTAAACTAACATGCAAGAGGTCAAACAAAGCTGATATTCAGAGCAGAACATGCACGTGGTAGATATTACTGTCAGATTAAAACAAAGACATATGAAAACACTGTTATTCTCTCAAAAGAATACAACGTTCTCAATCACACTATTACTTTAATCACAAGTGTTACTTTTTCTTCGTCCCAGTTAGTAAAAAAAGATTGATCATAAAGGCTATTTGAATATTTGTAATTTATTTAATATAAGCCCACTCGTGAAACAGAAACAATATTGCCTTTTCAGGTTGTTTTATGACCTTATTATTTTCTGTACGATCTACTGCAGTTTGAACTCACTTTTTGGAAAACAAACAAACAATTTGCTTATTTCTAGATTTAAAAAAAGAAGCAAAGATTTTGCATGCAGCAGATTTTTACCTCTTGGCATCATCTCCTGTCTTTTCTGCTGCAGTACCATCTTTTCTGCAGTAGGGGGCGATGTGAGGGACATTACTCTCATTTCTTCTACATGATGTTATAAAATCTTAGTCCTGCATAAAATCCTAAATTAGGGCCACTCACTTGAACTGCCGCTGCTCTTCCAGTTTGGTCATGATGTCGTTCAGGTTTTGGCTGAGCTGAGGAGACACAGGGAGCAGATCAACATCTCTGACTGATCAATACATCAGCTGATCACTTATCATGATGTCACCATCTCACCTTTCCCATCTCTCTGTGGAACTTCTCCTGATTACCTGCCAGACTCTGGAATGTGTTAACATAGACGCCAACACGACTGCGCACACCACAGACAACACAAACACAACATTTTTAAACATTTGGACTCAGTCGCCTTTAAGATTTGTAGAAAAATAAAGTGTCTCACTTGTCCCACAGTGATGGAAGCTCGTCTTGTAACTCAACGTTCAGCTCCTCAAAAATCCTCTGAGCTCGGCCCAGCTCCTCCTCAGCCTGCACATGCACACACACACACACACACACACACACACACACACACACACACACACACACACACACACACACACACACACATACACACACACACATATAAACTCTTTAATTACAGTTTTTAATGAGCACTCGTTCATGCAAACAAACACAAGCAGGGTTTCATAACTACAGACATGTGAATGCTGCAAGCATTCAAAAGACAACTGCAGATGAGAAGTAAATTAAAGGGCGATTCTGACACATTTATACAAAAAAATCAGAGGTTTGGATTGTGGATCAGATCACAGGTTGGAGGTGAGGAGGGGGGGAGTCAGTGATGAACCAGAGTTTCACCTGGTTGAAGGAGAGGTTAGTCTGAGCCACCTGGTGGGCTGATATCAAACCCTGAGCCCAGCTGGGAGCCGCCATCTCCAACAGGGCTGCTGGCTAACCGCACACAGCATGCAGGAGAGAGGAAGAGGAGGAGGAGGAGGAGGGAGAGAGAGAGAGAGAAAGAAGAAAAGCAAACAAGAACAATTCAAGACAAACGCAAACATGTTAATAAGCATTTGTTAAACAGGGAAGCAATCAGTTTAAACGAACATAAATATCAGTTATCAATAAGTTAAAACATTAAAGTCATTCCACAAACAACTTACACCGCCTTAAAACAAAAATCAATCCTTCATGTTTGCACGAGCAGCAAAACATTCTCAAACAGTAGTTAAGCAAACTACATAACTGTGCAAACACACACACACACACACACACAGGTGGTTACCTTGGCGATCTTGGCTTCGTCCTTCTTCTTTCCTTTCTGTAAGGAGCTAAAGTGATGCCGGGCGCTGTCGAAATCCACCATCTTCCTGTCCCGCTTCGCTATACGAGCCTACAGCACAGGACATCACAGAAAAAAATAATGTTGCTGTGTTTCCTCTCGACTTCCTCGCCGGTAGAACCAGAAACACACCTTGATATCAGGAAACTGGGTCAGGTATGTGTCCATGCAGGCCACAGATTTGTCGGCGAGGCTCTGGTGGTAATCCAACCATAGAGTGTCTGAGTCCTGCAACACAAACAGAACAATATCTTAAATGTGTTGCACTGAAATGAAAACTCTCTGTATCACTACTGCTGCGGATTTGTTTTCTATATACTGCTGTTAGTTCAGATCTAAAAACCAAACACTACATCCTCTGCTTCAGAGCTCAACCAGTGTTTGCCCCACAGAACCAAACTGGGAACCATCCACACCAGATGTAAAACTTTCTTTCTAAAAATGTCAACGTGTATTCCCTCTGGTGTGGCTGATATGATGATGCAGATTTTTGTTCTAAGTTACGTGAGCCTGACACTGATCTGTGGGAAACTCTTTATTCTGTCTCGTTTTACCTCTAAGTTATTGTCCATCTCCTTCTCTATCATCTCCTTCAGGACGGAAGAAGAGACGCATGCAGTTAGGAAGAAGACAGAGTGTTAGCAGGCAGAGAAAGAGAGGGGAAAGAATTCTTGTTAGTACTGACTAAAGAGTGTCTGATGCAGGTTGAAGCAGAAAGTAAGAACATTTGTCAGAAGGAGAAGTAACAGCAAACATTCACAGAGTCGTCATTTTTGTACGTCAGCGAGCGGTGTGCAGGTCTCACCTCTGCCAGCGCGTCCATCTCCTCCTTTCCAAACCATTCAGGCTCGTACATGTCGGCCAGACAGTCCTGCAGCCGCCGAGATGCCTCGTGCATCGCTGAAAGCAGACAAACATGTCATAACTTTAGAGAACAACATTTAAATGCATGCCTCTCTGTAGAGCACCTTTGTGTTACAGTTGAAGGAATTCAACTGTAACAAATCTGCATTCAACTACTGCAGGGGCTGCTGTACCTCAGGTTACTGAAAAACTCACTTTTCACTGCCACCAGGTAAGATTTCAGGTCCTTCTGCAGTTTGGTGCCTTCAGTCTGAGAGAGACAACACAGCAGGTTTGAACTAACAGGACAATAAATAAAACAGGCAGGAACTCTTCACTGTTCTCTGTTTTCTTCAGAAACAAATCCATGAAAAACAGATTCATGAGGATGTTAAAAAAAACGATTCTGACCATCTGCTTGTTGAAGTTTGCCACCATCTCCTCAAACACAGTGTCCCGGGTCTCATCCGCTTTCCCGAGCTTCTGCAACACCTGCGGAGGAGACGACGGGTGGGAATTATCTGTCAATGAATCAACATATTGATCTGTGCTGTATTCATTCATGGTGCTCTATTCAGATCTAAAAGTGGAGGCATGTTTCTGTCTATTTCAAGCTGCCTGTCAAAGCCATGTGTCTCCACTATGTCTGCGGCCACACCAGCTGTGTGTGTGTGTGTGTGTGTGTGTGTGTGTGTGTGTGTGAACATCAAGATTGATCATTCAGTCCATGTAGTACCAGACAAAACAACATGGAATAAAAAATGATTCATATATTAACTAATTTTGAACATTTTTTATCAGGTTTTTTCATCGTTTCTGTCTTCAGATTCACATGAAGCTTTGAGTGTTTGAATATTTTCGATCTGCTCGCATCGTCTCTTCAGTGTTTAGACGAAAGAGGACGTTTGTTTTGTTGTTAGTTGCGCAAGGTCACAGCTAATCTGATCTACTGAGAGCTCCGACACCATCAGCACCACCTGCCGCCTTAATCCCGTGACAGATACACAAACCACGGGCAACATGACAACGGGACTTCCCCAAAGCTGCAACACACACACACACACACACACACACACACACACACACACACACACACACACACACACACACACACACACACACACACACACACACACACACACACACACACACACACACACACACACACACACACACACACACACACACACACACACACACAGACACACACCTGCTCACTGAGAATCCACACACACACCTCAGATCCTGTTTTAATAACCGCAGTGTATCAGAATCTGTTCATAGCTCTCAGGGGAAATACTGCAAGTTAGACTCGATCATTTAATATCCTGCAGTTAGAGATACCTGTGATACACCTGAAAGGACAGAATGGGGGGGGGGAGGGGGGGTATAAAAGAAATAACTGAGTAAATGCAAGAAGCTGAAAGAATACAGGGGTACACTGATTACATGCAGAACTGTGTGTATTACATTTTCTATTCCAACTTAAGTTTTCCTAAGTGATGCTCAAGAGAAAAATACGACATATATATCCATGACATTTATGCAAACTAAAGTGCAAAGGATGATTATGCAACAGGAAGCTACCTGCAGAGAAGAAGAACCTGATTGCAACATTTTAAACAACCTTAAGAATGTGAAATGTAACTGCCCTTTGTATTAATGTTACTGTCATATACAGTAACGGTTCAAATCCGACCAGTGGCTCCTTTCCTGCATGTCATTCCTCTCTCTCTATATCTCTCTCATTTCTGACTCTATCCACTGCCCTGTCTCTAAATAAAGGCATGAATCACACACTTTTTGTTTGGGATGAAGCATACATGAAGATTAATTAAATATCTGTCACCATCATTATTATTTATGTTGAGGTGGACTATTCAAATCCATGTCTGAAGTCTACATCATTGAACATTTGTTCTATTAAAATCCAGATCTATATCTGGACGACACACCTGGTGTATCTTTTACAGCCTTCAGTGTGTGCGGCTCATTGTGCCGCACTCAAATGTCTCATGATGCATTCAGGAGATTCTCGTAAAGTCTGGAAAGATCATGTTACCATGCTGCACTCATGAATGTGTTAATGTGGGGAAAGAAAAATAAACGTAAAGTAAACTCAGATTGGGAAAAACTTAAATGCATAATTATGTGGGTATTTCTGTGTGTGTGTGTGTGTGTGTGTGTGTGTGTGTGTGTGTGTGTGTGTGTGTGTCACTGACATCTCTCCAAGCCGTCGGTGTTCAATTTCATCCCCCAAAATACCCCTGTTACACACACACAGGAGGTTTGTGTGGTATTCAAAGAGACGTGGAGAAGGCCCACAAGAGATATTGATAGATACACACTCCCCTACACACACACACACACACACACACACACACACACACACACACACACACACACACACACACACACACACACACACACACACACACACACACACACACACACACACACACACACACACACACACACACACACACACACACACACACACACACACACTCTTTTGAGCCCTGCCCACATCAGTGAGGCATGCTGGGAGTCCTGGGAGGGAGGGAGGTGAGGGACAGGTGTGCAGGCCAAGCAGAGCAACTTCGAGGTTTGTGAAGTTTGGATTCACATCGAGAGTTATTGAAAAGTGTGCTTTAACTTTAATGTTTCCTTATTCTGACTTATTCAAACTTTGAATTAAACTGTATTTAAGTCGTCATAAAAAATACACGTAGCTAATATCCTCTAATCTAACATTTCAAAGCAGCACACAAACATTTAACGGTTTAAAAAAATTGTTTGAAGAAAATATTTTATATTTATTCACTCTCCAAAGATATATTTTAAACTCAGGTGTGATGCTTAATATCTGCATAAAATGAGATGATTGTAGGTGCAAATTAAAGCTGCTTTTACTTTAGATAAACATTTCTATGTTTAGGATAAAACTAACAACAACACTTAACCAGTGAATACGAGGGTCCTTCGAGGGGATCTTTCTTTTTTAAATGCATTTTATGTGATGTCATTATAATAGTTTTTAAGTGTAGTTGTGCTTTTGGTCCATTATTTTTAACTTTATGTGTTTTATTCTTGTTCCATGTGCTGTTGTCTGTCATCAGGTTTATTAATATTTCATTAATTATTTGTTAGTTTTTAAAGTAATGTTTGCAGGATTTCAACCTCACATTATATTTAAAGATAAAAAACGGGTCGGTAAGTGCAAAATAAACGACCTTTTGTTACTTTGGGGCAGTTTGCAGGAGAGTTTCTGCAGGTAATGTATCACTTCATGTTTGGAGGGAGAGGGGAAGTATGTACTAGGTGCAAAGAGGGGGGAGGTCAGTGTCATGGGGTCCTGCCTCTTTGACTCCCAGCACCACACCGGGTCTCCTGCTGCTCCCTAAAGGGTACCTCCCCCCCCCCCCTCCTTCGTCACCACACTCATCCGGATTCCACTGAGGGGAATTTTCCCAGCATGCTCTGCAGCACAGCTGACCAGTTCAACATGAGCGGGTGACATTACATCACTATGATGAATACAATGATTTCCAGGAGAAGGTCTGAGTGATCCTGTGAGCTGGTCTGAACCAGATTCAAACTGGCTGCACACAAATGATAAAGTTATACGATGTAGTTCAGTTTGTGCAGATCTGTGAAAATATAGATCAAACTCAGCAGGTAGAATCCAGCATAGTGCATCTGTCACAGTGGAAAAGTCTCTGCGTCCACCTGTATTTGCAGGATTTTCAGCAGAGATCAACTACAGACAAGTTACTCTTGAGTTAACGCAAGTCTTCATCGGACTTTTCCTGCTCCCTCTCAGGACAGGAGACACACAGGAGAGGCCAACATAAAGCGAGCAGGATGAGGTGGCGGGTGGAGGGCGGCGTGCCAGCAGACAGCTGAAGCCGACGCTCCCCTCCTCCACCTCGGCCGGCCTTCAGAGGGAAGATGATACTCTGACCTTCCTCTTTACTCCCAGAGCTCCAACCCCGAGCTCAGTCTCATCTCAAACTCTGTCAGACACCTTTAACATTACAATCAAGGTTTGTTTTTTACTTTCTGAAAGCTGATTTTTCTCCTGTTTATGTTTTTAGGTCAGAGTTCAACCCAGTCACTAAAATCTTTGCTAAGACAAGAAAGTTCATCACAGGGAGCATTTTCATCTCGTCTCGACAATCATGACCAAACAGGACAATCAATTTCAGACCAAACAACTCTGGGGACTTTTTGAAGAGGAACTATCCACTCGGGAGTTCCCTGAGAATGTCACATCACAGGGACTTTATTTCTGTCTGCATTCACAGCGCCGTGGTTTCTACTCTGAAGCAGGAGCTACAAAGTTTCCTCTAAATGGGGATTTAGGAACTAACAAGCTGTTTTCAGACAGCAGGAACTTCTTTATAGTTCTAGGAACTGTAGGAACCCTCCCCCTCTGTTATTTATTCTGCACTGCAGGAACTAAGAACTATTATAGTTTCTAGAACCCCGTTTAGAGGAAGCTTTGTAGCTCCTGCTTCAGACTAGGAACCATGGAGGTGCGAAAGCAGACTGAAAAAAACCCCATGATGTGACGTTCTCAGGGAACTCCCAAGTGGATAGTCCTCTTCAGAAAGTCCCCAGAACTGTTTGGTCCCCAAAAACCAAAGCTCCTGCGGTGTGAAATCTATAAAAAAAAGGGGGGAGGTTTCCAACAGTTCCTAGACCTGCGGACTGAAAACGCAAAATTCTAACTCTCTGTGTTTTCCTTTTGGCTCCAAAACATTTAAATATTGGTCATGTGCTGCAGAGAAAGTTATTTGATGCCCTATATCTGGAAAACACAGGATTGGATTTATGATTCTATTTTAGAAACAGAAAAGCAGAAAGAAAGGTTTTAATTCAAGCCTAAATGTTGGTTGTCTCTTTGTGGTGAACGTGTTTAAATATGTAGTGTTGTATTGATTGATTGGATTCTAATGACTGAAGCGTCAATGTGTTTAATCTCTTTTATATTGTTAAGGTTAAAAACATCATTCTGGTGCAGAGAAGGAAGCTTTCTGTTATTTATAACAACATGAAGCTTCCTTCTCTGCACCGTGAAGTTCTGCAGATTTCCTCTATATTGAAGACGAACCTGCAGCTAAAGAAGCTCTCACATTAGAACAGGAGGATCGTGGGACACGGATGCTGTGTCATTCAGCAGCTTCTATTTAAAGTTCATTCAGAGCTGCTGAAATGATCTATTGGGTCTAAACGGGAAATGACAGCAGGAGGACAGCGCAACTATGGAGTAGACTATGTGTGTTACATAGAGCTGGAGTCAAGGTGTAGTTAGCTTAGCTTAGCACGATGACTGGAAACAGGGGGAATTCTGCACAATCAGTATCTATACTTTTGGTAGCTTAGTGTTTTCAGATGCAAACAGTTTTTTACTTTATAAATGTGATTGCACTTTTACTTGTAACAGAACATTTCTGCAGTGTGACAATTAAGCTCATCACAGCATAACGTAGCAAATTGCACCCAATCCCATGTTGCAAACCAATCCCTTCAACCAAAACTCATTGGGGTTTGTTAGAAAATGTATTGAATCCCAGAGAAGCATGTCTTTAAAATGAGGAGCAGTTAAACGTGCAGCTGCTTTGAGGAGCAGATCCTCCCTTTAGAGTGTGGAGGAAGAAGAGGTCACAGTTTGTCTTATTGAAAGGCTTTAGATAAAAACACAAAGAGCAGAAACTATAGATCACTTAAAGTTAAACAAACTGAGAAGAATAAGTGTGTGACTGACTGACAGCACTGCTGGTGTGTTACTGAGGTGATTAGAGGGTAAAACCTCAGCAGGCTTAAGCAACAGGAGTGATTAGGACGGACAATAATAACTCACAGACAGCACACTGAACACAGACTGTTGATCAGGTTTCATTCTGTCACTTTAAGAGCTCCTCCTATCGACCAGTATTCAATACATGTTGTAGTATTTGACAGAGTAGTTAATGCTCAGTTTGCAGATAAACGTCTAACAATGAATGTGAAGGAACAGTCGATGCTGCTCCTGAAGTTCAGCTGAATGATTTCTAATATTTTAGACAATTTATCACAGATTAAAGTTTCTTATTTCTGCTTCTTATCTTTGTAATGTTTGGAGTTTCAAAGTAGTTAGTGTATTATTTGTAGCCAGTTAAAAACTTTAAAAGAACTAATCCAGCAAGACTTTGGCTTTAACTCGATGAATTACATGAACTGAAATAATTTTCTTCTTGTAATATCATGCAAAAGGTTTTACACACAACTGATAAAAGTTGTATTATAAGTGATCTCAGTTTAACATGTCTGTTACCTGCAGCTTGTTGAAGTCTCCTGCTAAAGGAAACTTCAGCAGTGTGCAGGTTAAACATGTCAACGCTAAGCAACAAGAATTTAAAAAATCCTTAATCATCCCTTAAAACACCAAAGATCTGTGTGAATGACTGCAGATAATCTCAGGATTTGAAACTCAGAAGTTATTCATCTTAAAGTAGACATCAAGTATTTAGAAATATTCTCTTTAGCTGTCTTCATTTAAAGAGCAAAGTCAGGTTGCTTTTCTAGTTCAATGTTAACAGGTTGACCCCAGTTTGAGGTTACACTTGATCAGCATTCTCCTTTAAAATCTTATTAATGAGACAGATTTAATACATATAAGTATTAACATACAAGGGGCACATGTCAGTTGTGTTAAATGTCACAGAGGGTGACCCCACATTTGAAGTTCAGATAAGGGTTCCTTAACCCCTCAGACCCCCTTGTAGTTCCCTGATATGGAACAATCCTCTGATTCACACCTTCAAATACTTTTTTTATCGCCCCAATGAGAAGAGTTTGACGCCAAAAAGTTGAAGGATCTGGTTTCACAGGGACAGGAGGACAGAGTGTCCCGCTGCCATGTGAGCCTTCGATCAGCTGAGGGAAAAGTTTACCTTCTCCTGCGCTCTGGTCAGCCTCTTCTGGACGTTGATGGCCAGTTTCCCGGCGGTGACCCCTTTCCCTGGCTCGGCCATGTCGCGCGGCGTGGAGGCTCCCCGGCGGTGTCAGGACCAGCGAAGAAGAAGAGGAGGACAGAGGGAGAAATGTCGATGAAGGAGACCCTTCAGCAGTGCGTAAAACCCCTCCGGGGGGAGACCTGGCTCACTGCGCGTAACTCTAATCCCGGTGACAGCTTCTTAAAGGTGCAATGCGTAATTTAATCCGGGTAATGTGTGGCTAAACAATCAAGCACACAAATAAAAACAGTAAAAAGCAGGTGGAGTTTGGTACAGAGAGCAGGGGGACTGTTCAGATATCGTCGCTCTCACAGTTAATTGATGAAGACTTGAGCTGGATGTGGAGAGATATTAGGTTTCCTCCTCAGTTAGCCTCTTAAAGGCGCAGCAGGTTGTTATTATTAGCCGACATCTGTTGCATTCATGCAACTGGTGTGCTGCAGTCTTTACGCACGGATTTATTTATGCGCACAGAGCGCTTTCCAGTTAAATGTTGTGAGGGCTAAATCAGTCCCTATTCCCCCCCCCCACCACACACACACACACACACACACACACACACACACACACACACACAGCATAGTGCACCTGCGGCTCGAACAGGAAGCCGGTAGATGTCAGTAAAGGTGCGTTCACGTGTCAGTAGGTCATCCACCCCTTCACCACCAGGGAACACAACAAATGACACAACAAACAACTGGTTTCTATATAATTTAATTTAAAAAATAAATCTTTTTTTTTAATATCTCTTCTCCCACAATAAAAACGAATGGATTTCTGTAAACAAACAACACTTAAATACACTCTATCATTTCTTCTAAAATCTCTGTTACAGCTCTTACAACAAAGACCTCAGCATCCCTTTGGACTTCACTATGAAACTAGATCCCTTAAATTTTACCTTAACACTCCACTACCTCACCCATTAGCTTGAATTTATTGGCTTATTCCAGTACAGGTTGGTCCCTTTTGGATGCATATAAGTGCCATTTAAAGGGATTCCTACTCAGGATTCAGGTTCCTAAAAGGTTGAGCACAGACTAAAATGGAAATTAATAAGTCAATTGATGTATCGTGTCATCGTTAGGGATCTTTAATTGGCTTTCTGCATGGCATAAGGTTTCTTCTACCGAAAAAAAAAAGCCATTAAAGCTTTCTGATCAAATATCTGAATACGGAGTAATAATCCTGAACACTTTTATTTCTTTACCCCTAAGATGTTTCAGACTTTTGGGGGCCGTAATAGTAACCTGATAGTGTCATAAAGTGTAATCTAATGGTGAATTGAAGTTTTCATGCTGAATTAAGGAACTCTTAAGGGATTATTGTTTCATAGTTTTAAAAGGATACACGTGTCTCTGAAAGTTTTTGAGTCTTTCTGCCTCGGAGTGCTCTCATATTTTCAGTCTGTGTTTGAGTTTTGTGAGGATGCGTCCGTGTCTGTTCACAGCTTCTTCTTCTTCTCCCCTGTTTGTCCTGCAGAAAAAACTCCCATCATGCCTCAGCAGGAACCTTAAAGTGTCTGCATGAAGTCCATCGTGGTCCTGCACATGCAGCTCTGCAGGCTGCAGTTTGGAGTCGAAACAGGTATAAAACGAGGGACCAGGTTTTGTTTAAATAAGAGTTTCCTTCTGTGTTACCCGTTTCCCGCCCTCACCTGTCGCCCTGAGCAACGCCCAGCGGGTGAAGACGTCCTGAGCCCAGCAGCTTCCCGCCCAGCCAGTGTAAAATCCGAGCGTACCAGTGGACCCCGTCCTTGTGGCTCCCGCTGGATCCAGTCCAGCTGTGGACCAGGCGGAGCGGGGCGAAGGCCCAGTGAGCGAGAGAGTGCTGATCCAGCACGGCGTAGCAGGACGCCACCACCCCGTCCACCACCAGTGTCCCCTGCTGGGTCAGTGGTGCAAAAGCCCCCCTGCCCCCCCTCACGCTGACCTGGGTGATCTGAGACAGACGCCCCTGTCCCACTTCACCCTCAGACAACAGCACGCACTGTCCCGGCCGGGCGTCGCTGGCATACACAGTCCTGAGTGCTCCTCGGGCTGGCTCCGCCCCCTCTGAGCAGTTACCCTCTGTAACATACAGCAGGTGGGCGGCGGTGAGTGAGAGGCGGGCACCGGCTGCTGTCTGCAGGGTGTAGAAGAGCTTCCAGGTCCCGGGGTCCCGGTCCAGGAAGGTCAGGACTTCACTGAATGCCAGCTCTCCCCCGCCGCCTGCCAGGACCAGGACTCGCTCACCGGGGCGCAGGTCGCTCATGGACTTGTGACCGCCGCCCTCCAATGTGACCGAGGCCTCGCCGGGGAAACACCCTCCAGACTTCGCCGCCACTGAATGATCTGTAGAGAGAGAGAGAGATCTTTAATTAAGATTTTTTTTTTTTAAAGAAATCTTAATTTTTTACTTTTTGTTTAACTATTTTTTTCTAATTTTGCACGATTCCTTATTCAGACGGTTTACTTTTAGAGGTCTATGCTGATGTAGGAGGTTATTTCTGATTGGTTGCCATCACATTTTGACCCCAGTAAGTCTTTGCTCACTTAAAATGCTAAAAATAAAATGAGGAATGAGTTCAATACAAAAAGAGGTAAAGCACAAAATAAATCTTTTCAATCCCTTCAGCCAAATATTGACTTTGTTTTATCCTCACTCAAGAGTACAAAAACAAACAGTGTGTGTGTGTGTGTGTGTGTGTGTGTGTGTGTGTGTGTGTGTGTGTGTGTGTGTGTGTGTGTGTGTGTGTGTGTGTGTGTGTGTGTGTGTGTGTGTGTGTGCTAGAGACAAAGCGTTGTGCACTTGAACAGTGACACCTGAGGAGCGTCTCAAGTCTATCTGGGGATAAATATTTGGGGAGGGTAAGAAAAGCCAAGGCCAGGTGATAAGATAAGTCACCTGAAGGAGGAAGGAGCGGAGCAGGAAAATCAGCCAGCAGGTTAATCATCTGACAAACACAGAGGGTCACATGACTGCAGGTCAACTCCAGGGCGTTTCAAAACGTTCAAAGACGCAGACTGGACTGACGATATGATGATTAGTGTCAAAGCAGTGGTGTCAAAAAGATTCATTTTAAAACATTTCCAAAAAGCCAGAAACATATTTAAGTATTTATTTATAAATGCATCTATATGATATCCTATTGTATGATTCAAAAGTTTGATTGTTTAGTAAAGAAACCGTAGTCTCTGTTTGATTAAAGTCAGTGGGGGTTATTTTATGAAGTCATCTGTACATGTTTATTCACAGAGCCCTGCAGGTGTAACGGTTACATTTACTTACAAGCTAAATTATGTTAGATGACTGTTTGAAGGATCTGTCAAGAAAGAATCTGGCCCTTATAGTTGATGACCCCTGACCTACAGGATCCTGCTGCTTTGTTGCCCACTAGTGGCCATTTCTATGGCTGATTACAGACTAACCTGTTCAACTTGTAACAGCTCTTTGAAACTATTTCTGGGGTTTTTGTTTCGTCTTCCCTCAGCTGGACAGATTTGTCTTACTCAGGGAAATATTTCATTTTATTTTAGAATACTTCTTGATGCGAAAACAAAAGGAGAAATCAAACACATGAAAAAGAAAAATACCAACTTGATTGGTTGCCCTTCTGATCAAGTCAAGGACTGGGCCCTCGCAACCCGATCTGGGAGGGAAGGAGAGAGGAAAAAGGAGGGAAAGGTAGAATAAAAGAGAAGGAAAGAGGGGGAAAAGAAAAGGAAAATCTCAGTTACCACTCAGTGTAAAATGTTTAAAGTGGGTGTTTAAATTCTGATCCCTTTTCACAAGAGTGTGTGAGTTTCTGCACATCTGTGTGTTCATTTTGGGTTGGCACATGTGTGTTACTTTTCATGCGAGCTGCACATTGAAAACACACTATGCTGAATATGTTGAACCTCAGTGTGAATGTGTGTTATTCTGAGAAGCGTCTGCAGACCACAGCTTCTGATCTAAAACAACAAGAGAAGGGAAGGCAAATTCCTCTTAGTATTTATGTGCATTCAATACCAAACTATCCCATCTGACTATGAGAAAAGTTGTAATTGAAGAGTAATTTTAATCCGTACAGCAAAGAAACATGTCACACTGAATGACTTTCTGATTTTTTAAAACTACAATACCCATGATCCTAAGCTGATGTTGCCATTAAAAAGACGGGTCTGAATAAGGAACTAAAACACTCTGCTGCAGAATTCATCCAAAATGAACCCTGAATCTAAACATTTGAACTGTGAGCATCCAGGTAACAGAGTTTTTAAAGCTCTGCAATCAGATATTTCCAATTGATATGCACATTTGGAGCTTTAGCTTACGTCTCACCTTCAGTTGTTATTGAGCACCTTTGACTTTATATCAAGAAAGCAGACCTTTTCTTTTGCACTAAAGGTTCAAACAGGAGAGTTTTATGATAAGCCGAGCTGAGCTGCACATGTGAGACGCTGACATTCCCTCTTTGATTCAGACTTGTTTTCCAAATTCAAAAATCCCTTCTTCCACTTTGTGCCTTTTTTCTTTAAAGTATGAAATACTCTGGTTAACGTATTATTCTGTAAAACTTCAGGTCAAGTCTGCAAACTCAAGATATCTGAGCCTTGCTAATCTACAGCTCGTGCTTCCATCTTTTAAACTAGTTAAGCTATCATGTAGTTGTAGTTTTGAGGTAATGCATTTTTGTTCCATGTAGATCTCCTGGGTTTGAGTGCCCTGCTAAATGCATTTTCCTCTTCTAAAATAATCTGTTGTATTAAGTACAGATGAGTCTGCAAAAACAGCTTTCAAATGCAAAAATGTAAAACGTGATGTAAACCTATAACCACGGGAAACATGGGGTGAGTGGCAGCTGAGACAGAAGAAGAAAATGGTCAATTAATAAGAGTTAGCAGACAAGAAGACAGTTAGTGATCAGGAACAAAGGAGGTTAAACAAATGTTAGAAAGAAAAAGGAAGCAGCAGCAGTTCATGTCTAAAGCAGACGTCAGTTTGTGAACATTCACAAAACTAATTCAGCGTTCTCTGATTGTTAATTTAATGTTCACGTTCTAGATTTCCTGCTAAATGTTGTATCAACGTGTTGTTTGTAGAGCTGAGGGAATGATACCTAACATTTTGACTGTTTGCATCTCAGTTTGATCTTGCAAAGCTTCTTCTTATGATTGCTGGCAGTAAGATTAGTAATCCATGAAAGCTGAGTCAAGGTGTCCAAAGCTTTAGCTCTTTTCTGACGACAGGTTGCTGAACTAGTCAGATTGATGCATCCTGGTGCCTTTATCTTTACCTGCAGAACAGAACGTCTACAGGTAGTCTATTTTTAAAAAACAAACATCATCTCTCTCCGCCCCGTCCTCTCTCACCTGACTTGACGCTGCAGTGGATGTGGGCTTTGGACTCGTAGTAGACCCAGTCAAACCCGGCCTCCACCGCCAGGCGGGCCAGCATGGCGTACTTGTTCCTGTCTCTGTCCGAGGTGGTGATGTCCACCGCCCGGCCCTCGTAGTGCAGCGACTCCTCGGAGTGATGGCCGTCCTCATCCCAGCCCTCTGTGACCCGCAGCCGGACCCCGGGCCACAGGTTCATCACTGAGATGGCCAGAGAGTTCAGCTTGTCTTTGCAGCGCTGCAAACAAACACAGATTTACTTCTCATATCTTGCATCCACATTTTAGAATCAAAGTTATTTTTGACTGTTAAACTTGTGTTTCTAAAACTTTGCTTCGTTACGTTACAGCTTTAAAATCCTCTGATCTTCCACTCCCTCATTCTTAACCAATCAGAGAACATGAAGAAGTCCCTTGTCTGTGGATGCAGCATGATGTTTGCTCTCTGTGGTGAGTGAAGCGGGCTATGTCAGGGAAGGATGGAGGAGTGAGGCGGTGAGGGGGGGGGGCTGTGAGGTTGGGTGACAGGGTCCTCAGCATCCCTCTAAACCTGGAGTCTGGTCAGGGTGAGCAAACAGAAGGTGAGAGGGTCCACTGAAGGCCTCATTGAGCACACAGGATGATACAACTTAGATCGCCTTAGTATAGCGTCTAGTCAATCACAGATAGCCCCGCCTTAACTCCTCCCCTCTCTCTGGTCTCTTTGACTCGAAATGAAAATCATGCTGTATTAAAGAAGACTTGGAACTAGAGATTGAGACCTTAAACTCATTAGGATATTTCTTACTGAGGGAATAAATATGCTTGCCTTCTTTAAAGGTTTTTGCACGATTGGTATTCATTTTGCCACCAGTAGAGCATGAATGCAGGTTTAAGACACTTCCACAATGAATTTACTTCAGAAACCAGGAGCCTATGTGTACTTATTCCATATATGAAATGGTCACTGGAATAAATCTATCCATTTAGCTTACTTTGATCCAATGTCACCCCAGTCTAACTTTGAGGAATGATGCATTTTGGCTTTCTCTTTTAACCATTTGACTTTAAATAGAAGCTCTCATCTGGTCAAATTCCATTTTCTGCTCAATTTAAGGTCAAAATATGAGTCTCTTACACTCCATAAATGCTTCAATTAGGATTGTTGGTTTTATTCCACTTGACTGACTGGACAAATAAAGTAAATCAACAGTCACTAAAGTCTCATTAAATCATGGCTGCAGGTCTGCAGGACGTCTTGCCATTTCCCAGCAGCCCCTGAAAGCGTCTCAGTGATGCAGCGTTTCATGAATCTCAGTCTATCAGGAGTGAAAAGTGGGATTAAACGCTATAAACGTACTTTTCCATGTTGGCTGTGATAAGAATAGCTCGTGGCGCGGTGGCCACAGATGCCTTTTCACAGTGTTCACTGTGAATTTTAACGTCTAATGTTTTCTCTCTGCGGTCACAGCTACGAGCTGGACTCCATAAATCAGACGATACATTTTGTTGGTTTTCCTTTCAAGGTATACGGATCGACGGGGGTTTCTGTAGAGGCGGTTTGAGCACTAAACCGCTGGCTGCACAAACATTGGACGCGCAGGCTGACAACATGCGCCTATGCACACCTTTACGCTGCAAAAAAAAAAAAGTCCTCAGAACAGTTCAGACTCCTGTGGTCTCTCAATGTCGCGCTTCCCCAGATCATCTGCGAAGAGCAAAACGTTTTCTGTCGATTTTAAAAATTAGTTGTGAGGATGCTCTGAAACCAAAGAACAGTTTTGGCGCGTTTTGTGCCTTCTTGGATAAACATTTACGTCCACGCAAGTAATACGTAAAAGCTGATTGTAAAAGAGTGAAAATGATCTTGCATTTCTTCCCGTTTACTTTGGAAGGAAAAATAAAGCAACCCAAAAAGCCCAAATTAAATCTAGAGAGTGACACTTTTTACAGTGTGGTTTCGCCCCTGAACAGACGCGTCTGTATGCGGCACGGAGCGCCCAGGAAAAAGCGAATAAAAAATAAAGAGGCGAAAGAAATGTGCATAATTAAGGCTTCAACACAAGTGAAGTGGGCTATTTCTGCACATGTGTGCTGCGAAAACAAACAAAAAAAGTAACACGGAATAGTTAAAGACAAACAGGAGGCTGTCTGCTGCGGCCGGGAGCCCATAAATTGTGTGCAGGTCAGTGGCTCGGGCTGCACGCTGCAAAAAGAGCTCCTGATGGAGTTTCACCCCGAAAAGATGAATGGACATTTCTTTGATTGTTTACGTTTAAGTGGGCTGATTTGATCGTGCTCTTCTTGTATAAAACTGTGCATTTAATTGAGTTAAAAACCGATCAAAACCTTTCCAATCAAATCAGATGTTTTGGAAATTTAAACTCTGGGATCAGGTCGATTTGCAACCAAAGACAGATGAAACACTTGCACTCCCTGTTTGCTTAATTCATCTTTTGCATTTGAATACTATTATATGGCACATATTGTTCGTTTAAACCCAGCTGCAGTGACTCGCTCCAGTGGTTATTTCTTGCAGCGCGCGCGCGCGCGTGCAGCGAGGTGACAGCTCCAGACTGCAGTACGCGCTTTCATTCCCCACGTGGGTCTGTGGACATAAGACTGCCGCTCAGGGAGGAAGCCCGCGGTCACCAGAGCCAGATATAAATACTTTATTCCTGGGGAAATTGGGAGTCAAATAAATTCCACCCGGGGCCACATCAATGACGGTGTCGTAAAGATTTCTGACAGTCCAAAAGGCGACTGTTAACTCTGGCCAGTCGGGCTAAAAACGAAAACGGTAAACATGAGTACACGCTTGACCCTGGCTTTAACCAAATACGACTTTTGGCTGTTTTTCCACCAAAAACATGATGTAAAACAGAGGACATAGTGTTTTAATTAAGAGCGACCGCTTTTCCAGACATTTTTAGACGGGGTTGCCCTCTTTTACGCACGAGCCGCCCACAGTGAACCTCTGAAAGTTCATGTGGAGAAGAAGAGGAGAGCTCTGATTCAAACTGCTCACCTACACAATCCAGAAACGAACTCTGCTGTGTCAACAGCTGCAGGGCTTCTACAGTCGACACAAGAATGAGCTGTGCAAACAGATTCAGTAATCATCTTTCCAAAGAGCTGCAGTGCAAGAAAAGTCTTCATAGAAACTGTTTTGGTTTGAGAAAAAGAGGGAAACGTGAAGATTAACTGAGAGGAGCTAAAATTATCTCCAGTGAGACAGCGGGGGGTTGAAACGTGGTGACAGGGTCAACATCTCTGGTAAATATGATGCTTGTTTCCTGTTGAAAATCACCAAAAGCCTAGTACCATATTGATGGTGAGTGTAATTAAAACCATACAAAAATGTGTCAGCTAAACTCTATTCGTTTTTTTATTACTGATCTTTTTTTTGCACTGACGAGCCTTGAGTCAACAAGAAATGCGGAAAAAGATAACAGCGTCCACGCGTTTGAAGACTGGGCAAAGTGCACTTGGAGATCTACTGAAATACTCTTAAAGAAGCAGCTCCGGCTATTAAAAACAGACACTACGGCAGCCGGGAGGGTTACCTGAGTCATCATGCGGTCTGCACCTGTGTTCTCCTCATCCTTGAAGATGATGTCGGGGTTGTAGTTGGGGGTGAGATCCTTGAAGCGCTCAGAGTTCCGGGTTATTTTCCCTTCGTACCTCCCGCTGGCTCCTAAAGTCTTCTCGGCCACGTTAGGGCTGAACTGTTTGTAGGCGAGGGGCGCGAGCTTTCTCGGTGATCGTCTCTTGCCGTAGCCTCTACCCGGCCCGCAGCCTTCACCGACCGGCGAGAGGATGAAGGCGCACCCGGCGAGGCACGTCACCAGCGTCTGGAGCAGCATTCCGCCCAGGGGCCGGTATGTATCCCCCCGGCGGGTGGCCAAAATGTCACCGCTGTATATTTCTTGATGTGTCCCCCGCGTGGGTCCCCCTTGACAATTTTAGAGTGGCGGTAAAGGCGCAGGACTCATTCCAGAGTCCCAAAAAGTGGCCATTCCCGGCGCGTAAAAGTGTCCTGTGCGCCGCTGGAGAAGAGCTGGAGAGACGTGAACCTGCCCTCTGCGCTGCTGACACCCTCCTGTCCCGAGTGCACGCGGAGGCAGGGGCATAAATAGGCGAGGTGAGTTTATCTTGGCAGGCAGGTTCAAAGCTGCCCCTCAGTGTCGGAGCTGTGAGAAAAGGCCTTCAGACAGACACGGAGGCGCGCGTTGCGGAGTCTGGCTGCTCCTGTTGGCCGCGGCGGTCAAAGGGTGTCCCCGCAGCGGTTTCTGCCTCTCGGGTTTGTTCTCAATGCGTCCCTGTGGCGCAGGGCTGCTGGCAGCAGTGGAAATGGAAGAGATCCTACTACAGCACAGATGAGGTGCCGCGGGAGAAGAAGGAGACCGCGCCCTGCTGGACCTGCCCTCAGCTCCGTCCTCTCCTCCCCTCGAGGTGGCACAGGCCCCGCGGCCGCCTTCATCTGTTTATTGTCAGCCAAGAGGACAGACAAATACCGAGCCACGAGACTGACCGGAGAGGCGCGCGCCCACTCCTGTCCTTTGGACCCTGGTCTCCAATTTAAGACGCGTGAGCAGTGGTGCAGGTGCGCGCGTTCAGACCTGCGCTTCGAAACTTTCTCACCCTCCTCTGGATGATTTAAAGTCGTTACTGAATGACATAACAGTCTGAGCTGTGGTTGAGGAACTAACAAACTCCTGAGCACAGCTTTGTCACCCTGCAGGCGCCTTTTAGTGACGTTAGACTGGCCCTCAATCTGACCAAGACCTCCTGGAAAACACTCCTACAGGGCCCAGGACCCCAACTTGAAAATAGAAGAGTGAGACTGTGAAGGTTCACATTTAGTTAAATGTTGAGAATCACCCACACACTCATCTTAAGGTCAACACTTCCCAAAGTTTCCTACATGTCCTACTAGTCCCTTTAACAATCCAGCAGAGAACAGACCAGAGTTGAATGACTTTAACTGAGAACATTCACTGAGATAAAGCAGACCAATAAAAACAGAAATCTCTGCAGGTGTAAGGGTAGGATCTGAGTTATTTATGAAAAGAAGAAATAATGATCAACAGAGGCACCCGAGAATCTCTTTCAAGGAAAAATAATTCACAGTTTTATGCCGACTCTTTTTCAGGAAAGACTCTGATACGTCTCCTGTGCTTCCAGTAAGCGTGACGCCATCGTTCAGAAACGTTTGTCACACAGAAACTCTTGAAATCCTGCAGGCAAACAGAGACTTTCCAACCTAAACTTCAATAGCATTCCCCAGATGCTGCAACACCTTGAGTCAACATCTCACCAACCTCTGAAAGAGCCAAGCGGCTGCTTTATCGACCGGCCGTCCGCTCATTCTTCCCCCTCCATGTGTCTGAGATCAAGAGGAAAGAAACGACTTCAAAGAGAAGCACGTCAGATCTTAAGACTAAATAACACTTAAAAATGAACACTTACAATAAACACTTTTATACAGAAGAACGGCTTAAAGAAGTTTAAAGCTGCTCAAAGTTTCAAGTTAAAATTTCCACTCTAAGAAGTCCTGAGATTTTGTTCTGTGTTGGATTTTTACAAAGAAAAGAAAGAAGTCTTTTAAGTGTTTACATCTTTAATCACAAGCTTAAAAAAGTACTTAAAAATCCAGACTTCATAAGACTGAACTCATCGATATTTATTCAACAGTTACAATTCAAAGATCTAAAAACTGAACCTGATTAAAAAAAGTTAAAGAATCCTGAACGATCAAAGAATCCTTCAGTTTAAAATAAGAAATATTTTTTAAGATTAACTCCCTTTTAAATTCTTTTAAATGGTAAAAACAGTCTATGGGTAAAAACACTTTGTGTTATGGCGTTCTGAGTCGTCTGTGGTTGTGTCCTACTGCCCGGGTTCATCTGAACAAGCCCACTTTCTTCTTCTTTGGCTTGGAGGACGGCCGCCCGGGGTCAGACGAGGTCGCTCGAGGCTGTAGACGACACAAAAAGGTTGAGTTTTTTCATTCCTTAAAATGTTTCTGTTATGGTGACAGTTTAACATTTCATAAAATATCAGTTATTCCTTCACTTGTCTTGTTTTAATCCACAAACTCTCCCGTTTGTTCAGTAAAGATTTCAGTTTTATACACTTTTCATTATAATATTCAGGAATATGAGCACATCTAGCCTCTTATTTCACCTCTGTTTCTAACTGTTTAAAACCTACTTAGAGTATTTGTGTTGTTGGTAGAATATTTTACTGCATGTTGTGATTTGACTGAAAGCAGAACGATTTGACCGTGTAGCCTTTTAAACCTTCCTCTTCATTTGATAAACTTTCTGTCACTTTAATTGTTGATGTTTAAAAGATGAAAAACATCAAAATGATTTTATTTACCATCCTGAGTTTTGAGGTATTTGTGATTCTTTTCATGTCCCTGTCATACCTGTTGCTCTGACGCTCTGTCGGCCATCTTGGCTCTGGCTGTGTCCAGTTTCCCGTTCGCGCTCTGCTCTCCAGTCTCACCTGGTTCACTCCTGACCGGTCCAGCTGAAGGACGAGGACACAGGGGATCAGACTCAGTCAGAAACATTTCCTGATATCAAAGAAGCTCAGAGATCTTTCAACATTTCGACGATATCTTCAGGTGTTTTCCATCCTGACAACACAACCCTGTGAAATAACCGTTTTTAGAACACTTATAACCATAAAACAACCCAATAAATGTTTTACTGATAACTGTTGGGACATGAAATGGAAATCCTGTGAAATATGTCAATGATTTGTTGACTTCTCTTAACGTTTTCTGTCAGTGTTTCATTTATTTGCTTTATTTTAGTGAGTTTTTATTTTGTGTTGGATGGGATTTTTCTAATCAAACAGACCCAGCGTGGAGGGGAGGTCTGGTTCAGCAGTCGGCGGTTCCTCCTCGACACAGCCTCCCTCAGACAGCTTGCGTTTCCGTGTGTTTCCGTGGGCGACGATGGTGGCGTACAGGTGTTGGAGGTCAGCGTTGAAGCTCGGAGTGTCGTGCTGCAGCAGAGGAAGAGTCTGATGGGAAACACACAGAGGGAGGAGGTGATTATGGTTCTATTGCAGATCACATTCTTGTTGTGACATTTTCAGTTATATAATTTTATTTTGTATTGTGAGTCTCACTTTTAGAGTCTTGTTGTTGAAAACTAAACATTATAGTGTCCAATGGAAACATCTCTTACAGCTCGGGTTCACCCTGAGCGCCAGCAGGTGTTTTATCAGGAGTTACAGCAGACCCACTCTGGTTTTATTGGTTTATTGGTGCAATAATCAACTCAAGATCTGGGTTCAAGTGTTTATTTATAGATGTTGATCGAGCTAAAACACATATTTTATTGATAAATCACAGCATTATCACTTCACCAGCGTCTTTAACCTTCAGGAATCAAAGTCAGGCTCGGGTGTCTCGGCTTTCTCGCTCCATGTCCTATTGTTTACGGTGAGAAGGCAGACTCAGAGGGCAGAACGAACACCTAGCTGTGGGAGTGTCACCCACCTGGGGGAAGGGCTACTGCCCTTTGTGATGTCATGAAGGGAAAATCCCCAAACGGCCTGTTTGAGCACATATTTTCTAAAAAGTGGAGCAGGCAGAAGACGGAGAGGATGGACTTTTCTCATCATCACTAGAGACACATGTTAGAGTTAGAGGAACATGGTGAAGTGTGTTTTGCATCATATGTGACCATTAAGCTAAAATATATATATTTTCTAGAGATTTTTTTGGGGTTATTGTGCTTCCATTGGAGAGATGGGACAGTGGACTGAGTCAGAAACCAGGAACAGAGAGATACTGGGGAATGACACGGGGGTCTGCAGCTCTGAAGCCCATAGATCTATGACTATGCGTCGCATTAATCCGCTGCATGAACTTAAAAACATGAAAGTGTCCTCCTGACACGGCGTGGTACTTTGGGTAGGTTTGATTTACGATCCTGCAGTGGGAGTCACATGTCCGAGGTGTGATTCAGGGAGTGTCGGGCTGCGATAAGCCTCTAATCAAAGCTGCATTATTGGCACAACTGACCGCAGGTAGACAACTGAAACACACACACAAACACACACAGACACACACACCAACCACAGGCCTGACAGATAAGGGTGCGTGTAAACTCCGGCGACATTATGCAAACGCACGGCCGCCTGGTAGAAAAACACTCACTGTTCACTAAATCCTTCTTATTTCCCCGTTTGGACAAACTCTCAGAATTAGCTCCTCAAATATTGACCGGCAGAAATTGGTGGTCTCGCGCTCGCTGTCAGGGCAGAGGGGCTCCTAAACACACTTTGGTCAGGTTTGGAGGTTTTGCATTGATTTATTTTTGTTATTTGTTTGTTTAAATATCGTAAAAATAAATGGAAATGCTCTGCTGAGGCTTAGTTCTGCTTTGGGCACAGAGAAACCAATGTGCTGCGAGGGGACAGAGAGCAGCAGAAAGCCCACCTTATTCTCTCTTTTTATTCACTTCTCCCCCCCGTCAGGCCTCCCCTCCCTCCACTCTCTGGCCGCCAGCTCACTTCACAATATTTGATCTGAAATATTGAGCTCAATTTGTTGGATCCGACTGCCCTGCAGTTTAATTTGATAATTTAAAGCTCCTCTTCCCCTCTCTGTCGAAGCAAAGACTCAAACGGAAGAAAAACACTTAACAAAATGTCTGATGGGGAGGAAAAGTAACGACATACTTCATTTTGTGCTGCAGAGAAAAGTGCAATAAAGAAAAAAAAAGATAATCTGACCCAGTTGAACCTGCAGCCACAGATGGATGAATAACTCTACAGTCAATTAGCCGGTGTTAGAATAATCAGAAGCATGCTGACGCTGCAGTGGAAGAGAAGTTATGATGCAAAAGATTACTCTGATGTCTTCTGCATATACTATTTCTCCAAGTCATTAATGTGATTAGAAGGAAAACACCCAGAAGAACAAATTACTTCAATTATTTTGTAGTTTGATTTTTTCCCCCGGTTCCGGCCACAACCTTCACGTTGTTACGGTCCCTGCACACAAGATGATGGTTTTTCGGAGATCTTTATGGTCTTGGTCTTGACTCGATCTTGATCCCTGAATGTCTGGGCTTGTCTCTGTCTCTGAGCACTCTGGTCTCAGGTATGTCTGTGGTCACAACACTATCACAGGGAGTGAACTCAGCGACGGGCAGGTATTTATCTGCTGCTTTGAACCAGAAAAGAAACACCAGACGAGGAATAAAAGGTGATTACAGCAGGTCAATAACCTGCAGACTGTTTTGTGGAGCTGCTCTGGAAAGTTCCTCCCTGACAGAGCAAAGTCTGAGGCAGAGAGGAAGAAGAGGAGGAGGAGTGCTCACCTGGTGGCCACGCCTCCATGCACCTCCTTCTTGCCACAGCAAAGCACGGTGTGGAGAAGGTGATGAGGGGTAGGTGATGAGAGGAAGAAGAGGGTTTCTCTATTCTTAGCAGGTAAACAGCTCTGATTTTAGACGCGCTGCTGTTGTTGTTTTTGTTTTCAGGTTTCGGTGCCGGAGAGTCTCACTCTCACTTCCCCTCTTCCTCCTCTCTCCTGCTGACCTCATGTTTACTCTCCACCTCGTTTTCTCTCGGGGTGACCTCAGCTTCCCGCCCAGGGTCCAGTTGAACCCTCCAGGACTCAAGGTCACGTCCTCGGAAAAAAACTGGAGGGTCAAATTGGACCGATATAATGTGGGGGACAACAAACATCAGGAAGCTGAACTATAACCTAGATCCTGTCTCAGGTGTCCATCTTTAGAGGCACGGAGCTGCTGAGATCGCCTTCATTACAAGTTTTAAGTCAACGTAGCTGTCAATGAATCAAATGTTGGTATTCACAAAACTAGGTATAAAAGAAACAAGGGACAGATAATCAAAGAAACACCAACATTATATCAAATTAAGAACTTTGCAAAAGAGTTTTAAAGACGAGGCAATTTACTGGAGGAATTTCAAATCTTTCCAAACCAGAAAGTAAAATATGCAGAAAAAGAAGTCCCAGGTTTACATGTTTTCAAATTATTCTTCAAGTATATATATATATATATATATATATATATATATATATATTTTTTTAGCTTGAACAGGACAGTGGAAGGCTTATTGTCACCTGCAGGCCAGTAAGACATCAGTCCAGGAAAAAGTTGAGAGCGCCAGGAATACGGAAAAAGTCATGATGCCTTCTTGACCCCAAACTGCACAGCACAATCATAAGTGAGTCATGAAGTATTTTTAGTCGCTAACATCATGTAAATAAAGCACAGACACCCGAAACTAAAGGGAATAATTCAATAAATTAACATTACTGGGCAAAATTGAAGCGACATGTGCGCAAATCATGACGCAAAAGCATGTTAAAATCTCCCATGATCCTCTCTGCTGTGACACCATGAACACTTTGTCTTCACCTCCTCTCTGTCCTCGCCTGCTGATGTCACATCTCCCTGCAGCAGCGTGACGCACAAAAAGGCTGCTAATATGAGACAAAGCTTTAAGAGAGGCCGACCGCTGGTTACGGGTCACACGTACACCTAATGTGATAACCGCGGGGGAAAAAAAACGGTTTCTAATTTGGTTTTGTTCATCATGAAATAACTTGAAGAATAATTAAAAAAACAGAAGAAATGCAGAAACTGCAAACACTTGTGCATGCATATTTACCTGCTTCCATCTACAGGCAAACATAACACAAACATTTCCTACAGTTTAGGTTCTTTTGGTTATTCTAAAAAAGGTCCAAAAAGTTTGAGATATTTTGCATGTTCTCCCCGTGCATGTGTGGGTTCTCTCCGGGTACTCCGATTTCCTCCCACAGTCCAAAGACATGCTCGACTGGTGACTCTAAATTGTCTGTAGGTGTGAATGTGAGTGTGGCTGGTTGTCTGTCTCCAGAGTGTACCCCACCTCTCGCCCAATAACAGCTGGGATTGGCTCTATCCCCCCTCGACCCTGAATGGGACAAGCGGTACAATACAATGTTCTACCTCTCATTTCTGCTGATGCATCCCTGGGTGTGGATAATGTTTGTCAGTGATGTCTTGGTGAACGCTTTCTGCTCGGCTCTGCAGCTGCGACAGGAAGTGTTAAGTGTCACAAATAAATTGCTTACGGCGTGTTCACGTGCCGCCAAGCGCTGCAGCCGTGTTTAGTGTTTCTTGCTCGCATGTTGCTCACAGTCTCATGATGTCTTTGCGGGACGCCGCACTCGGCCCGTCCAGGCTGGGGCACGGCCCAGCGGCCAGCAGCTGAAGACGGGGGAGCAGCCAGGCCACAGAGGGTCTAATTACAGAGCGGAGCGGGGACAACCCTGTGGAAACTGTGTGCAACTGACAGAGGGCACGGAGGAGGAGGAGGAGGAGGAGGAGGAGAGACTGTGTGCAGATGCTCTTGTTTTGTTTCTCCTTTAAAACTGTTTAGACACAAGGAGGTCTGAAGCTAATGATTGTCAGTTACGTCTCTAAACTGACAAAGATTAGTCTGAGCTGCCAGTTAAACCTGAGGCGTTCAAAGACCCACTTCTTTCCAAACATTTCCAATTTACAAGAAGACAGCATTTGACTATTTGACGTTTACTTCTTGAAGTTCATGAAAGCGAATCAGAGAAAAGATGAACACCTTCCTGCTTATGTGCCCACCCCTCACTCATAACATCCCCCCTCCCCCCCTCGTCGAGCCTCGCCTCGCCTCGCCCTGCCTTCTTACCACCCGGGTTCTGAATTCCTCAGGTATGTGAGATAAAGAGCTGCTGGCTGCTGTTTATGAGAGCAGCCGTCAATGATTTACAGAAGAGAAAAGAGGAGTGAGAGGCCAGGTTTCCAACCTTTCTAAATTACAGTGAGCAGGTGAGTTTTTCTGCACTGGAGGAGTCAATGAGTTTATTTTCCACAGGAGAGTATCATCACATATGGACTCATAAGAGTTAAAGAGTTGAGTGACAAATACGGGAAATGTCTCACCCTAAACGGTTGAAATCTTGGATTTGTATCAGCGGGGTGAACATCATGGTGGGGTAAAAACTTTGGTTTCACATCTTGTAAACATAAGCACGCAACTAGATGTCACAGCAGGATCATTTTTGTTTATATGTCCTGATAATTGGGTGCTTTAACTCACTATTTTTGACATATTTACATCAGAAGTTATTAGATCTTAATGCATTAACACAGTTTTCTGTTTATATTAACGTCCTCTTGTAAAGTCCAATCAATATCTGCAGCTCCTCTTCTTCCTCTCAGTCATGTTCGGCTGCTACAGTCAAAGTGTGTATTTTGGAGAGCATCGTCGCTGTGGTTGCTGAATGAAAAAAAAACCTGAAGTTTCCTGCCCTGCTCTTTACTTAGAGCCTCGGTTTGAAGCAAACAGATATTAGGATTTGACTCCTCCTGCTGTGCAGAAACGGGCTTCATGTGGGGAGCTACGTAGCACTTATGGATTGTTTCCTCATCAGTCTGAGTACATAATCCTTACAGGAGTTTTAACTGGGGAAACTGTATCACTACACTGTAAAGAAGAGAGAAATATCCTCTGGTTGATTCTCATTTTCTTTTTCAAGCTCACTCAATTCAAAACCTGATCAGAAAAACCTCTAAGTAAGGAGAACAAAGTTGGAAGCAAGGGCAACATTTTGGCTCAATTATGTGATTTCTGCGCAGCTAGAGTGAGGTGTTTCGGTCAGAAGTGGCCTCTAATTGTCACTTTTGGTTAAACTTCTGAACGGTTGCCATGGAGATGTGAAAGTGCCGTCTCAAGAAGCAGGAAGTGGGCCACGTTCCCAAACAGTGACAGTTCAATTCAAGAGATGACAACTGTGACGCTGCTGCACGAATGACTGCGAGTGCTGCACCAAAAACTGCATGCATGCGTCACCATGGCGCACACACACACACACACACACTCACAGACACTCACAGACACTCACAGACACACTCATGCATGAAGACATCAACATAAAAAAATGGCCTCGGTGACACACACCAACACTCAGCGCAGAAAAACCAAAAGCATGCGTCACAGCGGCTCAGTGTGGACAAGCAGACACTCCCCTCTGTCAGGTCACGCTGCTGCTGCTGCTGCTACCACAACACACACACACACACACACACACACACACACTCACACACACACACACTCACACACACACTCACACACACACTCACACACTCCTGATTTAGATCCTTAGGGAAGCTGATACGATCCTCAAAGGATTTAAACTCTTTTTAAACATGCAGCTTCATGACCAGTTTGAGCTCGGGTTAAATCCAAGTGTGTGTGTGTGTGTGTGTGTGTGTGTGTGTGTGTGTGTGTGTATCAGTGGGAAGCGCATCCTAATTCCTCTCATGTAAATGTTGACCTGCGCTGGGGCTGGGTTGGGTGTTCGTGGTGACGGGCTGGGGATGGGCTTCCATAGAAAGCTGCTGCTCCTGTCATCATCGTCTCTCTTTCACTGTCTCTCTGCCTTTTACTCCCGTTAGTGTGGGAAACACAGGCCACAGATGACACACACACACACACACACACACACACACACACAGTTCTGGAAATGGGTAAAGAGTGTGTGATTAGAAAGTTTTGACGGTATTTTTCTGCTCACATGTGTAGAATCTAGTAGACTACTTTCTCAAATCACGAGGACATATCCAAAACTGAACTGAGTAAAAGTATGTCGACCTTTGTGCTGAACGTCACCATGGAGACGGACGCAGAAACATGAGTGGCAGCACGGACAGACAGTAAGAACACACACATACATACATACATGCATGCAAAGATCCTACCCTGATAGACAAATACCACACACACACGCCAAACGCCTTCACCCTTCCTCTGATTCACACACACAAACACACACCCGCTGATTCTCCCTTCAATGCGCGTCAGGGATAGTTTTTTCCAGAGAAGTTTTACTTCAGGTTGGACTTTGGTCTCCTCGCAGCTCGGTGGAATTTGCCACAAGCAAGAAGACTTTGATCCACCGCAGCAATTCTCCTCCTCCTCCTCCTCCTCCTCTTCTTCTTCTTCTGTGGTTTCTGACTGTCTGCTCACCTTCCCAGTACGAGGACACGAACATCAAAAAGCAGAAAACAGAGCCCCCACTGTGAGGCTGATGTAACTTTCCATGACTCTCCGTACCTGAGCTGGGATTCTTCTTCCTGGTTTGTCCTTTCAGACAAACAGCATAAACAAACACGCTGGTTTCCGTCTAAAACCCCCGAATGATGCTGCTAAAGCCGAACAAACAAACTGTGAATTACTCTCAGCTGTTTACATGACTAATAAGAGGATCAACTTCTCTGATGTTCACCTTTCAAAGACCCACGACCTTCACGTGCGATCACTCTGGACATTTTTAGACGATGTGACTCTTGTGCAGTGACCATCGGCGTGAGACGTTTCATGGTGAAAAATCTACCAGAAGAAATAAAACCGAAATAAAGCTTAAAAATAGTTAAAGAGGGAGCATCTAGAAATGCTGTTAAAATTCACAGTTCAATCTGAAATGCCAAGTCAGTCAATTAGCCAGCCACACACACACACACACACACACACACACACACACACACACACACACACACACACACACACACACACACACACACACACACACACACACACACACACACACACACACACACACACACACACACACACACACACACACACACACACACACACACACACACACACACACACACACACACACACACACACACACACACATTCCTCGTCTGAATACAGTAAACGCTTTCAATTTAAAAACTCAGCCCCTCGTCTCACTCTGATTGGCTGACAGTCACACACAGGAACCTAAAAGTGTGTCATGGCGGTTGTGTTTTTGGCGTGGAGCTCCGTCTGCTCCAGCGTCCACAGTGTTTAAAACCCCGTGTGGTTCCTGCCACACGCTCGCCACAGCCGGTTAAAGATCAGAAAAAGAGCGGGGACGACGTACAAACAGGATGAGACAACAGGCTGTAGTGTGTGTGTGTGTGTGTGTGTGTGTGTGTGTGTGTGTGTGTGTGTGTGTGTGTGTGTGTGTGTGTGTGTGTGTGTGTGTGTGTGACCTTTGCCATGAAGTCCTCTCTGTGGGATTGCTCCTCAAAAGCGTCCGTCTGCAGCCGCTCTGTATCAAAACATAAAGACACATTAGGATTACTAAAACATTATAAAACATCAGCCTTCTATTTGAACGTGTGATCTAAAGTTATTCTAACGTTTACACTTTTTATTAATGCGTGTATTGTGTTCTGTGCACCTCTGCTGAGTGTGGCTCCGTTCTCTCTGTAGTCCTGGATCTCCACGTCCTTCCTCATCAGCAGACCTCCCAGCTGCTCCACCTGACGCTGCAGCAGCTGACTCATCGCCAGCAGGGGGCGCACCAGCTGGACACACACCTGCAAACGCACATGATGCCGTCTGAGAGGAGGAGGAGGAGGAGGACGGTTTTACTGGATCAGGTGTTGGTCTACACTCACAGGGCTGTGGTATCCTGTTACAAACCTCGACCTAGAACTCTCGCAAACAGCTGTTGATGTTGTGCTTTGCCTCTGGTCACTTCCTGTCAGCACCTCTGGTCACTTCCTGTCAACACCTGTGTGTCTGATTGGACTCAAAGCTGTTCATTTGCACCTACTGAGGTTGTTTCCTCCTCTCTAGATCCTTGCTTGTGTTGTTCTTACTCTCTGATGTTCATAGAATTAATCTAGAGGTTATTAAGTAGACAATGTTACGAACGACCACAAAAAACCCAAGTTCATGAAGTCTGAATTTTTTGGGATGAAAACATTCTGTGTGTCGATCTATAGAAAAGAACGTACCACAGTGACGGGGGCGGGGGTGCAGTGAAACTCCCAGTAGAAGGGCAGCCCTGCCAGCTCGCTCTTCAGCTTCATGCTGATGTTTCCGTCATCCCGTCGTGTGAGAGAAATCAGGGACTCGCTGTCGGGTCGCCCGCCACTTCCTGTCAGCGTGGGCTGAGCCACCTCGCACAGGTGAGCAAAGAACGCTTTAACGGGGGCTCGCAGACGTTTGTTCAGCTCCTGGGAGGAAAAAAAATGGGTTTTATATTTCTGTTATGATCTCAGGAATTTGATATTTTTCCTGTGTTGTGTGTGTTTACCTGTGCTCTCCTCTGGATGGCTGCTGAGTCCATCCTCTCCTCCCACACACTGTGCGTGTCTGTCAGCAGGACGTGGTACGCCGAGTCCCCAAACCAGCTCTTGGCGAGGAGATGGCAGTCGCTGATGCTCACGGGAAGCCAAGGAAGCTGCAGGAGGGCATCATGGGAAGCCCCACAGGCATCCATCCCGTCCCAGACGCTCAGAATCAAACACACTAAGCAGACAAGAAAAAATGAAGTAAGAGGAAACCCACATAGATAATTCACTGACCAGAAGATGAACAGGTGTTAGAGAAGCCAAGAAACAAAGTCAACTATAACTTTAGATGTGTAGGTGATCAATAAACAATTTGTGATTTCATATTATCCATGTTTCATCTAATCTCAAAATGAAGCCCAAGAGATAAATGTGCACAGATATGTTCTACATTGTGGGTCAAATCAGGTAGAAGCTCCTGCTTGTTTGAGTTTGTTCCTGGAAGTAACTACCAATGAACACCCACATTATAAAAAAACATGGGGCAATTTTCTTTTTTATCAAACCTGTTTTTCTTAATTACTCACCTCCAAAGAATGCACACTAAAGCCTGGCCTGAGATCTGTTAAAGCAGCGTTACAGACGCCGTCCAGGCCGCATAATCACCACCTTGCAGGAGGGAGACCGCAGAGGCAGCTCCTGCGGGTAACAGGCTCCTCTCTGCTGATCTGTAATGGGACTGTTTTCGGGGAATAAAAAAAAAAGAGGTATTTCTCGTCAGTCGCAGTTTGGGGGGAAAAAAGTGCACGTTTCAGAGGTGAATCATGGCAATTTGCAAATCGCAAAAATACCAAATCAGTCACTTTATGACGATAATATAGAGCCATGTAAGGCTGAACACGGATGCCAGCGGTTAGAGGTTAAAAGAAGAAGATGCAGTCTGTTTACGCCTGAAATCACAGACCGCTGCACCAAACTCCATTCAGAAATCTGTGAATTTAAATTTCCCTGCTCCTCAACACTCGTTTTTTTACATTTCCCCCATCATTTATAATCTTGTAAACGTTTCCAGAAGCTTCGGTTAAATTCGGCAGGTCGCAGATACAACGATCAGTGTGTAAAGCAGAGTTATAGATACAGAAACACTAAAGATTCGACCTGTGTCAGAATAACAAAAGATCAAAAGCTGAAATATCTCACACAGGGTAATGATTTTTTATTACACGTCAATTTCTGCCACACAAAGCGACATTTATAAACGTAAAAACTCGAAAACTACTAACATTTGCGACCTCAGGTGCTGTTTCACGCCCGCTTCCTGTTTACCGTCCGCTGATGATTCCAACGCCGATGTGAAACAACCAAGTTTAAAATAGTTCCGTTTAATAATAATAATAATAATAATAATGAATTAATTCATACGATTCACACCACTAACAACGCCACTTGTCCCTAAACTTATCGCTCTGCTATTACCAAATAAAGACCACGTGAATAACGTTGTCACTTCATCATAAAGGGAACATTATGAATAAGGTTTACGTCACGACTGATATTTAAAACAAATTAAATAAATAAAAAAGTGATAAATGTTTCCTGATTTTAGAATAGAATAAAAATGTTATTAAGACGTATAAAAATGTAATATTTGTTCAGAATAAAGCTAATAAAATCATGTCCCTTTAAGTGTCACGTGGTCGGCGTCGTAGCCTAGGAGAACCTTTGTTTACTTCCGGGTTGTCAGACTCGAAAACAAGCGAGGCACAAACACGCCCACGACGGCGAGAAAAGCGGATTAAAGTCCCGCAGAGATGGCAGGGGAGGCGGAGGACGAGATACCAGGTAGATAACCGTAATTATTTTATTATTTCATCCCACTGAAAACTGAGAATTATAAATATTTAATGTTAGCTTCTGCTTTAGCGCTTGGGCTAACAAAACAAACCGGTTACTTACTCTTTTTCAAACTGAGTTATTTTTTAAGTAATGCTGCTTAACGCTTATTACTGGGGTTAAAAGTTTAGACTTCTTATTCTTTCTATTTTTCTTTTTCACTTTTTGCAACGTTTTGTTTTGTTTTGAAACGTGTTTTTATTTATTCACATGTTTCCTTAAAGTCTGTGTTTACATGAGGTGAGTTTTAACATGAAGCAGTGTGCATGGATTGATATCACATTAGAGCGTGATGATACAGTATTTGCATGATTAAATTATTGACTATAATAAGAGGTTCTTCACATGTTTTACAGTTGACTTTGACTCTTTTTTTCCTGACAGAATCAGGAGCAGTTTTCACTTTTGGAAAGAGTAAGTTTGCAGACAACGTTCCCAGCAAATTCTGGCTTAAAAACGACATCCCTTTAAAAATCGCCTGTGGGGACGAGCATACCGCCTTAATAACAGGTAGGAGTTGTTTTAAGGTCATATCTGAAAGGAAAAGTGATGCAAACGTGTGTATGATAGATCTCAATCAAAGGAAGGCATTACGTTTTGCAGTAAATCCTTTTGTGTTTACCTCCACAGAAAATGGGAAACTCTTCATGTTTGGCAGCAACAACTGGGGCCAGCTGGGTCTGGGATCCAAAGTGACAGTGAACAAGCCTACGTGTGTCAAAGGTTGGTCTTTGAAAAGCTCTCTGTTTCGTCCATTTGTCATCTACACTCATGCACTTTAACTTATGTCAATACTGTCAGTTTACGACTCTGTTTTTGCACATTTACATTTAATCTTCCATATTTAATTTACAACCATTACGACTCTGTTTTTGCACATTTACATTCAATCTTCCATATTTAATTTACAACCATTTATGACTCTGTTTTTGCACATTTACATTTAATCTTCCATATTCAATTTACAACCATTTACGACTCTGTTTTTGCACATTTACGACTCTGTTTTTGCACATTTACTTTTAATCTTTCATATTTAATCTTTCATATTTAAGACTAGGTATGCTTCATTAAATCCTGGTTGTATATATTCACATTCTTAGTTTTTATATTTTTAGTGCTTATTTACTTTGTATTTAATATTATATTGTGTTTAAATTTGCTAATATTGTGTTTTTTGCTCATATTGTGTGTTTGGATAACCCAGTTTGGGATCAATAAAGTAATTCTATTCTATTCTTTAGTTGATATAGTGAGAGTATTTCTGTTGTGTTTGTGCTGCCACTAACAGCTGACTGCAGGATGTGAAGAGGGCGAGAATATAAACATAACTGGCTTTGGTGGAGGATTTCTTGCCTTCCTTTGAGTCTGAGAGTATGAAACCGATTCTCAGGATAAACACAGTTTTCCACAAGCATCTTTTTACAGCAACTGTCTGTTCCCCGCGTCCCCACTGAGCTCGGGAAAAGAGCGTTTAGTTTAGCTGCCCCCTCCGAAGGGAACTTTCTTCATTTCACTTGAAGTCTTTCGCTCGATCTTAAAAGACAATAATGTGAGATCATCGGACAGAGCCTGGTGTGTTTTTGAGTTGTAATCTATGTTCACAACTCTGCACTTTAACTGTGAACCAATTTGCACATTTTGATTGTTGTTGCTCTGAATTTATTGCTTGTAAACTGTTTCTTAATCATGTAATTATTATGACGCGTGGTCAGGTCACCCCATTGAACTGCCTGCAATAAAATGCAAATCAAAACTCTCTTAAGACTCCAGAAGTAGAGGAGCATTGCTCAAGGGGAAACCTGGAGATTTGTTTCCATTGTAATCCCAATCTGGAGGGTCCATAATCTGCTTTAATCTGGAGAGGCACAGACAGACGGACACACTGGAGGTTTCTGTGCACGGCTGCTCATGTCAACTACAACAGATTGATGGAAAATTTAATAATTGCACAAATCCTCTTCATTGTTACAGATATTTACCAAACATGTGTGAATGTTTAGTTTAATGTCCCATCAATTTGTTTGATACAGTATTTATTAATTCAAGAGATGATTTCAGAAGAGATTCTCACATTCTGAAACTGGAAAGACAACTGATCGTATAAAGTTTCTGCCTCTACGACAGGAAGTCACACTGGTTTTGTAACAATAAGCGTTGATGTGTTTCTGATTTCAGCTCTAAAGTCGGAGAAAGTTCAGTTTGTGGCGTGTGGCAGAAACCACACTCTCATCTGCACAGGTCAGTGTCTGATTCAGAGGAGAGATTCTACTTTTGATGTAAATTTTGACTATGTTTACATTTGAAAACTTTTATTTTTGTTTTGTTTGTAGCTCAGGGAAAGGTGTTCTCGTCCGGGGGGAACAGTGAGGGTCAGCTGGGGCTTGGGGACTGTGAGGAGCGGACGGCCTTCCAGAGGATTCACTTCTTCGACTCTCGAGGACCAATCAAAATGCTCGCTGCTGGTTCAAACACCTCTGCTGCTCTCACAGGTGACGCTCAGAATTTAACTTCTAGAGTAAAAACCAGCAGTTTGTCCTTTTTTAAAACTATTTTACATTTTTTAAACTGTTCTTTAATTGAGCTAAACAGACAGAAATGTTTTAGGCAAATTTGTAAAATTAATAAAAGTTTTTATTTATAAAAAGATGTTACAGTTCCAGATTTTTACAATTTTTTCTCCGTGGTTTTCAAAATAAGAGCACCTTACACCCTATCATGATTTGTGAAAGGAAGCAAATCAATAAAAAAAAAAACAATGTGAATGACCTCTTGGTTTTCTTCCCGTCACAGAGAGCGGTAAACTGTTCATGTGGGGCGACAACACGGAGGGTCAAATCGGTTTGGGGAAGGAGAGCCACGCCGCCTCGCCCCAGGAGGTCAGCGTGGGTCAACCAATCAGCTGGGTGTCCTGTGGATACTACCACTCTGCATTAGTGACAGGTAAGTTCATTTACAGAGACAAACGAATTTGAAGCTAAACCCAAAGTTTGATGTTTCACAAAAAGTTCTTAATTAATGTCAAGTTTTTTTATAAAGCATATAAAAAAAACAACCTCAGTTGACCAAAGTGCTGTACTGCTTAAAAAACAATATGAAAAGTTGAATCATCTTTTTCCTGTTTATCAGCTGACGGAGCTCTGTACACGTTTGGTGAGCGTGACAGCGGTAAACTGGGTCTGGGCACCGAGCAGCTGCCCCGACATCGAGTCCCTCAGCGGGTGAAGAGCATTAAAGAGGAGGTGCTGCAGGTGGCGTGTGGAGGGGGACACACGGTGGCACTAACAGGTGACTTAAATGTGCTCAAACAATCAGACTCCATAATAATAAACTATTTAATTAAAACTTTGGATGAATAGGAACTTGTGTTGTCAAGGAGCTGGAAACTGTTTTTCTGTTGTTCATGTTTAATATGAATTTCCTGTGTCTGCGTGTCCTGTGTTTCAGAAGACGATATATACACCTTCGGTCTCGGTCAGTTCGGTCAGCTCGGTCACGGCACGTTCATTTTCGAGTCGCGGGTCCCTCGGCTTGTTGAGCACTTCAGGAAGGGAAGAGTGTGTCAGGTGAACTGTGGGGAAAACCACACTGCTGTCATCACAGGTGAATACTGACTCCAAACTTCATGTCACTACCACATCTGACTTTGTCCCCCTTTACTCCTTCTCTGGTTTAATGAAAGTGTCTGTTCTGTGTGTTTTATAGAAAGCGGTCTGCTGTACTCGTTTGGAGACGGTCGACACGGGAAACTGGGTCTGGGGGAAGAAAACTTCACAAACCAGTTTAAACCGACTCTGTGCCCTCGCTTCCTCAAGTACAATGTTCAGGCAGTAGGTTTCTTTCAGTAGCTTTTACTCCCAAGTGATGCTGGTGTTTAAGAAGCTTCAAATATTATATTAACATGCACCATGTCTGTGTGAAGGCTACGTGTGGCGGCTGTCACATGGTGGTGCTGGCTTGTCCGAGGGATCCGGGCTGCAGCGATGTGACTCTGGAGGAAGACGACGTGACAGAAGATTACCTGGAGAAGCCGTACGTGGAGCTGCTGGGGAGTACGGCCGACTCGTCAATCCTGCAGAGGAGCCTCTCTGCTCGGGTCCGCAGGAGGGAGAGGGTGGGTACAGAGCGAGGAGGAGGAGGTTCATCAACATATTCTTAAAGAGCACACTGTGACATCTACATTTTCAAACCCACAGGAGAGATCTCCGGACCAGTTCGGCGCCATGTTCCGCACGCTGCCTGCCGTGATGTCCGGCTACCTCCGCCCACCGCTCCCCATCTCCGGTCAGACCATCCCGCCCAGACTTCCTCCGACCGAGCTGAGCCACAGAAAGGTGCTCAACGGCACTCACCAACACGGGAGCGCAGGGTCAATGCACCAGGGTACCTACCTCACCTCCACCTCCACCTCCACCTCCTTTTCCTCCTCCTTACCTTCCTCCTCTTGTTTCCTTTGGGGTCAGACCAAAGTTCAGTTATCTGTTCAAGTACCAGGTACAGCAGCTTTCATAACGGTTAGGAGAGTTCAGAGAGCTTTAAAGATGGAGGGGACACTGATAATGAGACGCACACATGTAGATGGCTCCAAAAAAAACAACTTTTAAAAGAAGGACATAAAAGATGAAAGTCAAAAGATGCTTAAGATTGAAGTATTTTCTGATTTTCAGGCAGGTTAGAGAAATAAACGTTTAGATGAGGGGATATGTCTTAAATCACAACAAAAACAGCGTCACTCCGGGCATATTCTTCTTTATTCGACACCTTCAAATTCCCTTTTATTAATTTGAAAACATGAATTTAGCATCAAACAAGTTAAAGAACAACAAATAAAATGAGTGAAGAATAAAAATCCAGGCAGAAAACATATCTCACGTTGCAGAGAGCATCACCACAATCGCTCACAACATCTGCTGAACTGACAGCCCGGGATCTGAATGTTTTTGTTGTGATTGTAAAAGAGGCCGAAGTGCTGCAGAAAAGCAGGAAAAGTCTGGACTAAATGTTCTGCTTTGTTTCCTCAGAGCAGACAGGCGACGTTGTGGAGAGCCTGACCGACACAGACAGCGTTAAAGATCTCGGAGAAACCACAGACTTCCTCAACATGGTGAAAAATCAATGAATCCATCTTACGTCATATCAGAGAAAAGTAACTTTGGTGATCTAACCTGCTGATTTTCCTATATTTCTCCTCCTGATAGACACACGTGATGAAGATGGACCCTGGCGATAAAAGCCTCACTCTGTCTCCAGTTCAGAAGGTAACTCGTACGTCTTCTCCTCTGAGCCAAAACTTGCAGCCAACTTGGTTTCTAACCTCCCTGCCATGCTCCTCTAGTTCCCCTACACGCGTGAGATTAAGAGAAAGACAAAAAAGTTGTCATTACTTTTTTATTATTTCATCTTACTTTTCTGATTGTCCTGTCTCTTGTCTTTTTCTTTTTTGTTTTGAGTTTTCTGCATGTCTCTTTTCCTCTCTAACGCATGCCTCTGTTTCATCCTCTTCTTGCTTTCTGTTGCCGGGGATAGAGGAAGGGTAAGCATGCTAAAACTAACCAGAAAAAAGAGGGAAAGCTCTCAAAGCTGAGCAGTTTCTCTTCCACTCCCTCGTCTCATAAGAGCGAGACGGTCTCGCCTCGCCGCGCGCTACCTACTGAACTCCTGAGGGGCCCCGTGGCCCGGTCTTCGGCCCCTCAGACACCGCAGGGACAGAAAGCGTCCAAGCAGAACAAAGAGAATCTGATCCTGGCTGTGGAGGATCTGCAGAGGAAACCCGGTAAAAACAAACATCCAAGTATACAAGACATTAAGAAGGCAGCGTCCAAACGGAGGAGCAAGCCAACTCAGGGGGGAAATCAGCTGATGGAGGTTGGCAGAAAGTCGGGACATGACTCCAAACAACACCCTGAAATCAGAAAGACAGTTTCAGCTGAATCCACAGTGAAAGTTAAGCAATCACAGCCAAGACATGTCACCGTTAAAAGCAAACCGATAGCAGTGCAAAGTCAGCACACACAAGCTTCCTCTTCAGGTAAACACAGTCACACAGACTCAGAGAGTTTAGACAGCTCTCGACTGCTCTCTCAGGGGAAAAGTAGCTCAAAATCTAAAGAGAACACAGAGATTTCTAAAAAGTCTAAGAACGAGAAAAACAAAAAGGAGGCTAAATCAAAGAAAGAGAGCAAACCTGCAGAAGGAAAAACAAAAGAGGCTTCAAATCTCAACCTGCTAGCTGGAGCAGCCTCTCTCGCAGCAGGTGCAGTTTTAATGCATGAGGTGATGTCCCAAAACTCACCGTCGCCATCAGAGAGCAGTCACAGCGTCCTGAAAGACGGCGTGAAGACATTTCACAGCGAAGAATCTGAATCCTCCGCCGACGATTTCAGGAACAAATCCGCAGTCAGCATCAATATCATCCCTGCAGCCGAGAGTCCAGAAGACGGGACGAGTCGGAGGGAGACGAGTCCGGATGAAAGTGAGGAGAAAACAGACTCTGTGACGGTCCAACAGGAGGAAGAGGAGGAGGAGGAGGAGGAAGAGCAGAGAACAAGTGCTGATGTAAGCGAGGAGGAGGAAGATGTCAGTCACAGTGTGGAGAAAGTTACAGAAGAAGAAGAAGAAGAAGAGAAGGACAGCGACACTCTAAAAGCAGAAGAGGAGTCAGGAAGTGATGCAGGAAGCAGTGTTACAGACAAAGATGTGAGCAGCGATGAGGAAGAGGAGAAAGAGGAAGAGGAGGAAGAAAGTGAGACTGCAGGGAATGAAAACGAAGACGAGACTGAAGGGAAAGACAGTACGGGAAGTGATGTAGAAGAGGAGGAGGAGGAGGAGGGAAGTGATGAAGGGTCAAGTGAAGATTCAGACAGCAAAGGAGGAGAGTCTGAAAGTGAGGAGGAAGAAGAGGAGGACCTGGAAAGTGAGGATGAGGAAGAGGAGGGTGAAAGTGAGTCTTTAAAGACTTCAGAGAGCAAAAAGAGTGATGAAGGTAGTGAGACCGAGGCAGAAGAGGAGGAGGAGGAGAGAGAGAGTAGTGCTGAGGAGGAAGAGGAGGAGAAGGAGAGTAGTTCTGCTGAGGAGGAGGAGGAGGAGAAGGAGAGTAGTTCTGCTGAGGAGGAGGAGGAGGAGGAGGAAGAGGAGGAGAAGGAGAGTAGTGCTGCTGAGGAGGAGGAGAAAGAGAGTAGTGCTGCTGAGGAGGAAGAGGAGGAGAAGGGGAGTAGTTCTGCTGAGGAGGAGGAGGAAGAGGAGGAGAAAGAGAGTAGTTCTGCTGAGGAGGAGGAGGAGGAGGAGGAAGAGGAGGAGCAAGAGAGTAGTGCTGAGGAAGAGGAGGAGGAGGAGAAAGAGAGTGGTGATGCTGAGGAAGAGGAGAGCAGTGAGCAAGAAGAGAGTGAACATGAGACAGAAAGTGAAGGAGAGGAGGAGGAGGAGGACGAAGAGGAACAAAAGAGCGATGATGAAGAAGAAGAGGCTGAGGAGGAAGATGCTAATAGCACAGATGAAAAAGAAGATGAGGAGGAGGAGGAGGAAGAAGAGGAGGAAGAGGTTGTAAAAAAGAAAAAGTCAGCTGAAGAGAGAAGTGTTAAATCTGGACGTAAACTGAGATCAGCTCAGGCAGCAGACGAGTCAGAGGAGTTCTGGGGCGACGTGTTACCGCAGTACCTCCACCTGAAATAACTCAAAACTACGGAAGCCTAAAGGGGACTTTTTTTAATGACCTTCATCTGCATCAACCGGAGCATCGACAACCTGTTTACACACAACTCGTTAAAACAACAACAAGTGCAATCAGAAAAAAACAATCACTTGGAAAATACACACGAGAAGGAAGAATGTCTATTTCTGCACCTTTGTATTTATTATTGTGCTTTCTGTTCATCACTCTCACGGTGCCTTTCTGCTCGTGTCTCTCATGATTTGTAATTCAGAAAACCTTTTTGTGATTGAATCCAGCCTTCAGCCTTCAGGTTCTTATGAATATCGTCTGAAATTAAACTTTTAAATGGTTCAGTTTACGCCTTTTTATGGCAGCTTAAAAACAAGAATTGAAACAAAATACCAAAACTGTTTCTCCTCTTTTCTTCTGACGGGCGGCTTCAGTGTGTTTAAATGATTTACATTTCTATACAGATTATTTATTGCACATTTTTTTACATTCTTCATCTGTTTTTATTCATTTGTGTGTTTGAATTAAATACTTTTGTTTTATTTCCTCCATGCTTTGTTTGTTTCTTCTAACTTCAAGAAATTAGACTTTAACTCTGACCCCTAGTGTTTAAAATGGGTACTGCAGTCCACATTCAAAACATCATAGAGAGCTGTTTCCCCCCCTCCTCTCTAGAGTGGATGCTCACTCAGGTCACCATGTGGTGGACTCTGAAGCTTCAGTGTTTATCCAGCTCTGCATGGGTCTGTAAACCTTTCTGTGTTCTAACCTCTCTCCATTTTTCAAAAGCATCTCCAATATTGATCCTAGTTTGAGCACGTTTCTGCTCGTGGAGCTTATTAGAAACATGCAGAGGCTTTTTAGGTCGGGTACAATCACTTCTATCTGAACCACTTCTCTTGCTGCAACACCTGTTGACCTGATAACTGCTCTCATATCTGGCAAACTGAGGGGCGTCCAAAACGGCCGTGTGGGGGGGTCTTAAAAGCGCCTACCTTCTCTGGTCCAAACAAATCCAGAGCATTCAGGAGCAGAATCTAAAGTTAGAAGGAGGACATACTGGCTGCTGCATTGTTGTCAGAGAAGCACTTCAACATAGCATGTTTCCTTAATGATCAGATAGTGAGCTCACTTTATCATCTCACTCTCTACACATCTCACTGACTTCACGTTATAAACGATTGTTTTCTTTTTGTGAAAGTCTCTTAAACTGATTTCTGAAGCGTTCCTTGTTTTGAAGTGGTTGATTGGCTGGATTCAGAATCAGGTGGGGTTTGTTCCTGGTTTCTTCTTCTTCTTCTCCTCCTCTCTATGTTTGTAATCCGTCCTGTAATCCCTTCCCATCGTTCCCTGCTGTTGTGTGGAGGAGCTCAGAGCTTCTTGTCGTCTTCAATTCTTGAAAACAAAGAGAAAGACGCCCTGATTTGTGTCTCCTTCCTGCCTGTATCGTTTTAGATCACAATCCTTTTGAATAAATCTACATCTTTAATTGATCAGCATTGTTGGAGTCAAATACCGATACTCGTCTCCTTAAACAGTTTCGATGTTAAAGATTTAAGTTGGACATTGTTGGTGGTGTTGTGATTTTAATCTAATTAATTATCTCTCTCTGTCAGGATTCTTCCAAAGGGTCGGATCAGACGTTCAGGAAGGGCGATGAGGACGAAGAGGAAGAAGACGCAGAGGAGGAAGAGGAAGTAGAGGAGGAAGAGGAAGTAGAGGAGGGCATTGTTGATGAGGAAGAGGAAGAAGAGGAGGAGGATACATCAGCTGAGACGGAGGGGCAATCCTCCAGTTTGGACGACTCGACAGAGAAACCAGCAGCGGCGTCTCAGAGTCTTGTATGTTTATTATTTATTATTTAATCAGTTATTTATGCTCCTGTTGTGTTACATCGGATTTGTTTTACAGAAACCTGAAGAGCAGAAAGAAGAATCAGCGCCTGATGCAGAGCAGAAAGCCGACAGAGGTTTGTTAGTCAGATGAAGAAACAATTAATTTGATGCTTTTTGTGTAACTGACGGGACTTAAATGTCCTTAGAGTTCATGTAAGAAGAGGCTCTAAAGAAAAAAGAAAAATACTCTCAGAAATACAAAGACATGCTTGACTTACAAGGCAATGGAAATATATTTAAAACTTTTATATTATTATTATTATGAGCAGAAATCACAGAGCAGCCCATCACTGCAGGAGAAGAAAAGACGAGTGATGGAGCAAAACCAGCCAATGGGACGACAGACGGGGAATCCAAAAACCAATCAGGCTCCAACAAAAAGGTACAGAAGCTTTACTTTTGGTATAGAGGTTTTTGAATTAGTGAGAATGTCTTTCTGTTTATCTCTGGCTTTAGTTTTCAAAAGTAGAGCACGCTGTTCAGGCTCCACACGTTTATTCAAATATCCTGAAGTCTGAAAATCTTTTCAAGAAATCTCCACGCAGCAGCAGCAGCAGCAGTGTGACATTTCATTCAACAAACAGCAGCAGATTAAATGTATGTTTTTCAGGGTGCCGGTAGTGCAGTGGTTAGTGCGTGCGCCCCGTGTATGGAGGCTGTAGTCCTTCAAGCGGGCGGCCCGAGTTAGAATCGGACCTGTGGCTCCTTTCCTGCATGACATTCCCCTCTCTATCTCTCTCTCTCCCTGATTTCGACTCTCTCCATGGTCCTGTCTCGACATTAAACACCAAAAATAAAACTTGAAAAACAAAAATAGTAAACGTGTCTCTCCTCTCAGCTCTCTCTCTTCAGGCGCCTGTCCTTCTCTAGATCGAAGCAGAACAACGGCACGGACCAAACCCCAGCAGAGGGCGTCATCTCCGGGGATGCAGCAGTCCATGGAGAGCCTCCCCCCCCTCCTCCTCCTCCTCCTCCTCCTCCTCCTCCTGCTGCTGCTGCTGGGAGCCGTGACACAGAGACAATCAGAGGAAAAGCACCTCAGAGATCTCTCGCCCAGGGAGCCCGGGCACCTCGCTCCGGAGCCTGCACCGTCCTCTGATCCCGGGAACAAAAACTCTCAGGTGTCCTCAGTGATCTGAAAGTGTGAAAACGGTTCATTAGCAACACTTAAAGGGAACCTGTGGCGTTCTCACATCCAGCGTCACTCAGCAAAACATCCAGCATCGTTTACATCTGTGTGAAGCTACGTACGGTCTTCTTCTCTGTCTTTTCTGGTGACCAGAGAAAGCTTCACCGGGAATCTTTAAATGTGCAGTATACCAGCTGTTACTGGTTTTATTAAAGCATCTTACTCTTCAAGAAGGTTGACATTATTTTCAATACTTTGATGCTTTTATCGACACCACATATTTTAAAACGATGCAACCACTTTTTTTTCTAACTCTCAGTAGAAGGACCAAACCTAAAGAAATACATCTATTTCATAAGAAAGAGAGGAACGGATCCATCAATTCTGAAAACAAGAAATTCAACAATCCAGGACTTTTATTTTTCTGACTGTTATATTGAAACAGGAATCCATATCCTTTGATTTTTACCAGAATCATATCAAAGTTTAAAAATTCAGGTGTCGTGACGTCACTTGTCAACAAAAATAATTTAACATGAACTGAAGTTTTTATATAAGGTTGGCATCAAAACCCTGTTTGTTTTTTTATCGTTATGATGTCATCAAAGACATCTCAGGTGATAGATCACCTGAGAGGATCTTAAGGAGTTCTACGTTTCTGTCTGCAGTTTGAATCTGAAGTGCAGCTTTGAATGAACCACTATACTATAAACCACTACCTGTTCTCAAGTGACCTACAGCTGAGCCTCCTCCTCCTCTTCCTCCACCAGTATGACCAGTATATCTATGATGCTGGGTGGTTTTTAACTTGTGTCGTTCTTCTTGTGTGGTGCCTGGAGACTGTGTGTGTGTGTGTGTGTGTGTGTGTGTGTGTGTGTGTGTGTGTGTGTGTGCGTGCGTGCGTGCGTGCGTGCGTGCGTGCGTGCGTGCGTGCGTGCGTGCGTGCGTGCGTGCGTGCGTGCGTGCGTGCGTGCGTGTGTGTGTGCGTATGTTAAACTGTGAGGATGTAAATAATCATATTTATTGTCACATAGTCCTCGAGCACATTTGCACTTTTCTATGATATTTGTTCACATTTCAAAGAGAAGCGGTTTTTATAGTCTGACGTGATAATCTCATTTAACTGAATCATTTTTTTTATCATCTGGATTTTTAAATGATATCAATAAAGCGTTTTGATGCTTCATATGTGTTTCTCTCCTTCTTATACAGCTTAATTTACTAGTGATCACATGTACTTCCTCCTTTCTGCTCTTTGATTATGTTATACAAAACAATGCAAAGTAATTTAATATATTACATAATGTTTTATTACATTTATTTTGTATTATTGAATTTTTAAATGTATATCCCAATTTTATTGCATTGTTTTCCGTATTCCTATTGTTTTCACTTACTTAATGAGAACTTTTTATATTTTATTTTAAATAGTTTATAGGATTTTTTTTCTCAGTAATTTTTTTTCTAATTCATTTTCATTTTATTTTAAATGAGAAATGTTATGGCAGAAAATTACAGGGAAATAGGAACATTTAAAAACGGAAATGAAGACAAAAAGGAAGGAATCATTTGAAGTTAACTAAGTAATTATGGTTACTTTACGCCCTTTAGTGGCCAACTGCAGAGCTATCAAGTCAGACCGGTGAAAACGTGTACATTTTTTGTATTTTGAGGAGAAAGCTATCTTTATTTAAATATGTGTCATCTGATGGATTGCCATCTCAGTTGAGTTATGTGAGCGCTCTGTCTCACTAAGGTCTTAGAGTCTCATGATTAGTCTTATGGGTAAAACAAGGTACCAAGATAAACTGAGAACTGTTGTAGAAGGATTGTTAAAAAAAAATAGATTTATCTATATTTTGATACATTTTTTTGTTTAAAAAATATGAATCTTATATTTATTTTTCTACAAATGTCTTGCTGTTTTTCAGTGTTTTTTGTGAAACGTATTGTCCACTGAGAAATGCACTTTTCATGCCAATGAGAATTTGTAATGTACAATTGTTGAAGTGAACTTTTGCAGGGAGATGTAGTTGCACTGTACAACCACGAACGAAAACCCCTAAAATACACAAATAAGTAAAACAAATATAGTACAGATGCTCCTCTCAAAAACGTTTTTTTTCCACTACAAAATGTTATTTCAAAAAGAGAATATCTATTTTTATTTTGTATATATATATTTGTGTATACATATTCTTTCTGACTTGATGTCCCCGACGTACTTCCCAACAATGACCACTAGAGGGCAGACATGTGCGAAAAATGGCGAGTTTAACATTACAGCTTATGGTGAACATGCACTCTACTCCTGTTTTCATTTGACTTAATGTCTTTTAAAACTGCCAGGTTAGCTATTGTGGAAAAATATTTAAATTAATTATTAAATACTGGCTTGTGACAGAAGACAGTTGGTAAAATGGCTAGCATGTCAATTTAATCTGCTAAATAATCTGCAGCTGCAGCACGGACGGGGAAAAAAGACGTTCACATTTAACGTGTAAGAGGTGAGTATTCACAGATATTTTTTAGTATTGTTCAAAATTTGAGATGCTTTAGGTTGTTTAGAGTCTTTATTAACGTTTTGTGTTTGTATAAATCGATGGAACTCGCGTTTAATTACATTTAACACGATGTATAGAATGTTTCATATTTGTTCTGCCAGCAGGTGGCAGCAATCAGCAGTAACCGTCTCTTCTTCGATGGTTTCGCCGCTCTTGTTCTGCTCATCGTTGAGGTGTTATGCCGAGAAATGCATCCCTGGCGAGAATGTCACGCACCTCGCAGGACTGTGCAAAATCAAAATACGGCAGACAATTTATGTACTGCCGAACGATACTGATACTTAACGTTTATTAAGTATACACTTCACACACTTTTGTCATCATGAGTCTGCCCCAGAAGAAATAACATTTTCTAACACTTCCGCCTGGCTCATGCACTTCTTGGCTGGGATGCATTTTTCGACGAAACACCGGAAGTCAGACACGGCTTCGTATTTTTCTCCCTTTAGGTTCGCCCTTTTCTCAACATTTTATCTGAAAATATAAAGAATTTAACACCTTTGGATCAGCGATTCATGCCAGGAATGGAGGACTTTCACAACGGCAGCGAGGTTTGTGCTTGAATACATTTATATATATTCGTATTATAGACATTATTAAGGTAAAAGGATGGTAGCCACCCGAGTTAGCCACTTTCTGTCAGAGATGATTTTAGAAGCTAAAGCAGATTTTTAATATTAGATATTAAATTATCTACAGGTCTGTTAAAGATGATATTTTATTATTTAAAGATATATATTCTAATTAAAAACCTAATACCTGTTTAAACCGAAATGATCTAAAGTGCCATCTTTGTTGATTGTTGTTGTTAATTATGTGGTTAAATTGATTGAAATAACCTGATATTAATATAAAAAATAATGTTTTAAGTAGTAGTTTTATGACTTTTGGATACAGTTATTTTTTCCATGTATTTTTAGCATTGTATAAATCTGCAGTGACTCATGTTTGTGTGTTGTTGTTGTTGTTGTTGTTGTTTATTTCCTGTCAGGGCTCCTTCAACTCAGAGGAAGCTGACAGTGTCGTCAAAGAGGTAATTTATCACCTTTCTGTAAAGCACATTTAAAATCATCTACACTGTAATAATAATAATGTTAACTTTACTTGTGTAGCATCTTTAAAAACTCAGGTTAACAAAGTGCTTAAAGGCAAACTAAACCAAACAGAAGAACATAAACAACAGCAAGAATATAAACTAAAAAAAGACAATTCAACATGTTGGAGCCGTGGATTGATAGAATTGTCTTTGTGGTATTTATTTAAGGTTAAGGTAGTCTGTTATATATTGGTGTTTTTGATTATTATATCATTTATTAGGATTATATTGAGTGAGGGGATGTCGGGTCACGTGTTGATTTAACTCACCTGTTCACCTTTTTGTTCTCAGTGGAGGAGAGGGGGCGAGCTGGGTTGTCGTATTTTTTGTTATTATAAGTTAAGTTGATTATCTTTTTTACGTTGATAAAAAAGTCAAACTTATTTTTACGTTTCACAATATTCTTTTGAAAGCGCGTCGGTCAAATATATTAGGCCCAACCTCAACCTCTCAGCGGCTTCATATTCAGGAACGCCGCTATACAACAGAAAAGAGCCGATACAGCACCATACCCAGCCGACATATATAACCCGACCATCAAAAGAACCAATATAAGAACCCAACAACACGAGCTGACACCAAGAGGACCAAAGATTTAAAAAGATGTAAGAGACTAAAAGATTTGAAAGCAAATAGAAATAGATAACAGCAATAAGAAGGTACGAGCAGTAAAAGAAATAGAAACCAGTGAATGAAAACTAATTGTAATAATAATAAAAAGTAGACTATAAATAGACAAAGTGAGTAAGATGTTAAGGGAAAAGAAACGGTAAAACGAGATAAAAGCATAAATACAAAAACAGTAAGAAGTAAAAGATGATTCAAATTGTAAAACCAGTTCTCATTGGCTTCTGAAGTTACTGAAATATTTTAACCCAAGTTTACATTAAACCCTAACCCTAAAACTACAACGTCTTAGTTTACTTCTGTTAAAAAAGAAACTCTCAGTCTCAACATTTGAATTTCCCTTGGGATCAATAAAGTATCTATCTATCTATCTATCTATCTATCTATCTATTTATCCATCTATCTATCTATCTATCTATTTATCTATCTATCTATCTATCTATCTATCTATGTTTAATCAAATCATCTGAAGGTACCAAGACACATAAACGTTCATAAATCAACCGCCTCCATAACCTCACCCGGTCTTACCCCTGATTTTGTCCACAAATATTCTGCAGAAGTTTGTAATCAAAGTGCCGTTAAGCCACACTGTAATGGATGAGCAGAGGGGTTTTCATTTAAATGCGAGGGTCCTGTAATGCTGTCGAGGTCAAATATTGAAGAAGATTTGCACAGAAGAGTTTAAGAACTTTTTCTCAAAGTCAGAGTTCAAAACAAATGTAAAGTCTGTTTTGTTGTGGAGATGTTATGAAGCCAGAGTTACAGAGAATATGATCAAAACAAACTCGGATTTCTAAGAGAATAATTTATAAACACTGCAATCTCTTCAGGCTGTACCCGGTGACTTCCACATGGCTGTAAACACTGAACCTTTGTCTCGTGTGTGTGTGTGTGTGTGTGTGTGTGTACCTCAGTGTATCGAGAGCGTGGTAGGTGCTGATGACTACAGCCAGAATCAGGTGAACAAATGGACCGCCAGCATCGTGGAGCGCTGCCTCACACAGCTGATGAAACAGGGGAAAGCATATAAGTACATCGGTATGTTTTTGTCCACCTTCCTGAAGCTAAAGTTGTTTGTGTGTGTGATCTTTATTGAGAAGAATTAGCCGTGGTGTGATCGTATCAAAACATCACGCAGACGATTAGATTAGATTTCAAAATGTGTTGATTGTGTCTGTGCAGTGACCTGTGCTGTGATGCAGAAAACAGGAGCCGGCCTCCACACAGCTAACTCCTGCTACTGGGACACGACCATGGACGGTAAGGTTGCTCTCCAAGAACAGTTTATAACTCAAACTAGTGTTGTAGTCAAGACCACACTAACCAAGACCAAGACATACCCGAGACCAGAGTCAAGACCAAGGACCATAAACATCTCTGAAAAACCATCATCCTGTGTTTAGGGGGCGTGTCAGTCACTCGGACTGGAACATCGGGAGGTTGAGGTCGTGACCGGGGGATAAAAATCAAATAATGAATGAATTGAAGTTATCTGTTCTTTTATAAAGAGGAGTTTTCCTTCTTATCACAGTGATGACGTGATGAAAATAGCCGATCAGTGGTGGTCTTGACCACCTTAATTAATTTAAAATCTGGCCTCCAGAATTAAAATCTGACACCGAGACAAGACGGAGTAAAAATGCTTTCGATTCCGAGAAAGAGACCTTCAAAAAGTGACCTCCAGACCAAGACTGATTTGGAGTACTACAACACAAACTCAAACTAAAAGACCTGAAACAAGACAAAAGATTACAGACAACTGAAGTCAACAGTGTGTATGACCAACGTCACAGCGAGGTGATTATTGTTCTAGTAGTCACATCACTTCGGTGTGATTATTTTCTCTGTAAACAGCAACATGTTTGTGTGTTTTATCTTTTCAGGAAGCTGCACCGTGAGATGGGAAAACCGCACCATGTACTGCGTGGTCAGTGTGTTCGCTGTGGCCATCGCATAGACACACACTCACGCCATCCAAAGGAGGAGTGCAGGGTGTTCCAGTGACCAGCAGGGGGCCATCAAGTGCCACATAGTCCACTTTCATACAGCTGTGAGGAGGAGGAGGAGGAGCTGTGTTTCCAGCCTTCAGATGCATGAAAACATCATCATCATCATGTTCATGTATTTATCCTGTCATGTAGCTGCAGTGCTTTAATAGATCACATTCAGCCTGACAGCATGCAGCAATCAGCCTGATTCTTCTTCTTCTTCTGTGTTCTGCTACCTTTATTATGTGTCTCATGCTGACGAGGAGAGGAGAGGCTTTTTGTAATCGGAGCGGTTTTACAGAAGGAAAATAAACATTAATGAGCAAACAAAGGTGTTTATTTCTTCACCAGAGATTCTAATTTTCTCTGATTTCACCCCTGTGTCTGAGAATATTCTACTTTTTTATACTTAACATGTTGTGTCCTTGATTTATTTATCACAACACAGGCACCCTGAGCCGTAACTGATGATCTGTCTCTGTGACCCCTGGCTTCTCGGGAACTGTTATCTATTAATTCTAAAAACCTGTCAGCGTCTGAATTGAAGAGGTCCTCTGTGAAATACGGAGAAACGCATCATAAAATTAAGTTCTTACATTCCTCGTGTAGTTTTATGCAACTTATAAAAGAGCTCGTAGATGGAGTGCTCGGAACTTTCCCAGATTTATGATAACAAGAACAAAGAACTTCTTATGTCTGATTCTAGTCCGTGATGGAGGTTTTAAAAAAACGTCTGTCTGAAGGAGAACATGAGATCAACACATGCAGATTCTGCAGCTAGCATTAGAAACACCGGAAAGTCACACAGGAGATTGGGCTAATCATCGTTAGATAACCACTTCAGAGTCATGCTGCTTGTTGTTTGCAAAGTAAAACCTTCTTCAGCATAAACGTTAAGGACAAGATTTCTCTGTAATTTCAAATTTATTATCCAGAAGAAGTAAACAACCCAACTTTCAAAATAAGACTGAATGGATTCAAACAGGCAGCAGGGATAAAGTCATCAGTGTCTCTGATACATCGACTGTTTCTACATTTATCTTTTCTCCTGAAATCTTCATGAGATCTTAAATCTAAAGATCTGAGTCGCTGTTTCACACTTCAGCTTGTTCGATCTGCTGTCCTGACTTGAGGTGTGTCGTGACATTTCAAAAAGGTTTCTTAAAACAACATAAGAAATCGTCGGTGTGCAGGATAGCCTGGCGGGTTCGACTAAAGGCCCCAAATATATCTTAAAAGAAAAATAAATCACACATTTTCTGAAAAGTGGAGTGGATGGACTTCATTCCTCATCATTAGGGGGTTTGTTGACAGACTTCAAATGTCATGACATGTAAAGTGGGCGTGGTCTTAAACAGAAATCTGCTTTAAAAAACAAAACAAAATATTCATTAAAAACAAGACGGCAAGTCACCTTTTCAGAAATGTTTACAACCAGAGCAAACAGAGAATATATATTAGTCTATGCCGATGCTTCATGCAGGATTAAACGAGCAGCACATTGTGTTGAAATGGCCGGAGTAAACTTCTACTATATACACTAAAACAAAGCGTGCAGGTGTTCCAGAAGCTGCTGCTCTTTCTTTGTATTCTGTCTCTTTGCAGGTACGGCTGCTGCAGCTCCTCTGTAACAGGCCAAGCTTTAATAACACCTTGCTCGAGGGCACATCGGCAATACTTGTTTTACATTTGTGGAATTTAAACCATATGTTTCTAAAGCCGCTCCTCCGCCCGGCAAAGGAAGTCAAACAAAAATAGGAAGTTTTGAAAGCAGCAGTTTCGCTTTTGATGTAACAGAAAAGGAGAAGAGGGGAATGTGGAAAATACAGTGGGGTTATTTCCTCGCGTTTTGAGCAACAACGGCTTCTTTGCACAACGTTTTTCGGTGAGCAACACAGAGGAGAAGAAGTTACAGATGTAAATCTTTGTTCAGAACGCTAAAAGTTAGTGAGAACGCATCATCGTCGTGCTCAGTACATGACTTGGAGAGTTTTCTGTACGTCTCTTTTAAAAGTTCTCCTTGTTGAAGATGAACTTGACGTTGGCCTCGGAGTGAGACAAAGACTGTTTTTCAAGAGATTTCCCCAGCGCAGGGGGCCGCACAGGAACACGCCCACTTTAGTTCTGCAGGAAACACACAAACAACATCTATTAATGATACTGTGGAGGTAATGGAAGCAGTAATGATGGTTCATTCTGCTGTTCTCCATGTCAGTATAGAGATAAAGTGTGTGTGTTAAGGTGTTACAGGATGATAAGAGGCCTCACCCCGGGTGCTTTGATGCTATATTGGCGAACTCATTGTCCCAGTTTGGTTTCCCATAATGAGTCTTCTGTTTGAGTCCTGTGATTGGATCTTTCTCCGCCTCATGTTGAACTCGGAAATGGGCCGCCTGATGGAGGAAAAACACCACGTGATTCTGAATGTAAACAATTAACCTGGAGGTGTTTCTTCACCTGTACAGTTTGGGAAATGAGGACAGATGTGTTGACTTCTGTGTGCATGTTCTGAGCTTTGTTTAGAGATAGCATCAGTAGAAGTTGTGCAGTAAAATGTCTCTCCGTCATACCTCGGCCTCCTTCCAGCGGGTGAGGTAGATGTTGTAGCTGAGGAAGTCGGCCATGTCCTTCTCCGTCATCTGACCCTCCAGAGACTGCAGCAGGTCTGCAAACCACTCGAAGGCCTGCGTCTCGGGGCACAGCCAGTAGAAGTAGATCTAAAGAGGAAACCACAACAACCAAATGTTGAATTATTATTTCACAAACAACCTCATGGTGAATTTGTTGACAGCAGACGGACAAAACACAAGCTTAAGATCATTTAAAAGCTCCAGAAAGTACAAATCCTTCAATTTCAATCTGAGATTTTTTTAATGATGTGCATGCATGAAAGTGTTTTCTTGACTTTGCATAATATTTAAAAACTGGCCCGCTAAGTAAAGCAGCTTTTTCTGCAGCTTACAGCTCTATCACACGGGTTTCATCAGTACATCATCGTTGAGATTCATCCACTCAAGTGCAGTCAGCTCCTTTTAAATTTCATCCACCGCACTCCAGTTTGAAGTGTTTTTAAACTTTGAAAAATGAATGAATGAAAGATTTATTTAGCGGCTGTTTGTCAGAGCTTTCTTCCACACCACCACGTCTTCATCTGCAGAAGCTTTTCGCCCTCCTTTCTCCTGAATGAGAAGGCTGATAGAGGTTTGAAATCAGATGTTTAGTTTCCATTTCTGTGTCGACTGCAAACTGCCTGCAGATGAAGTCCACATGAAGCTCCAGAAAAACTCACAGAGCTCAAAGGAGGAGATCTGGTGTTTGCTATGAATTCAGTTTTCTTTTTAACCTTTGCATTTCTCGTTATTTCTCTGCAAATGAACATTTTGTGATGTGTTTTAAACCTCAATATTTCCCTCATTTTTCTGTTGATGTCAAAGCCTGGCTCACCTTCTTGGTGAAGACCTCCTGGTTGTTCTGGATGCGTTTGTACCAAACAGACTTGAGGATGGAGGCGAAAGGAGTCACACCGATTCCTGCGCCGACCAGCATTACAACCTCGTAGCGAAACACGTCCTCACTGGCTGTGCCGAACGGGCCGTCAATGGCCATCCTGAAACAGAAACACACAGACGTGAGAGACTGAACTTACAGATGTCACTTGGCTTTACAACAAACTTGTCAGAATTTTAAACCTTGATAGGGTTCTAGGAGGAATCTTAGATATCAATGCGAGTTTTGATACCAAGGCAACAACAAAAAATATGTCCCAGGCGCCTGATACTGGGAAATATCGTGTTTTTAATGACCAGAAATCGCAGTGAGCTCATGCATGTTGTTGACGTGTTTGTGAATTTAAGTTGTGCTCTTTCTCGAGAAGCAGGTTTTGTTTTTTTAAGTATTTTTAAAGCTCCAGCTCTTTTCTATAGATCATTAAAACAACAAAGATTGTGCTGATTTAGAACATGGTGTCTCAAAGCACATCTCTGTGTGGTTATAAATCCTTCAAGTGTGCATCAGTGAGTCCACGAGTGTCTCTCAGCTTCATTTTCTATCCCTAATTATTTTTCATTGAAACAGACACACTGCTTAAAATAAAAGGAAACCAGATTAGCAGAAGTGAGTTTCCGGAAATTCAACTAAACGTTTCACTTCACTCATTAATTCTGCAGGTTCCATGTCATTGCATTTGCAGAAATGTGAGTCCTTAGAGAGAATTTGATTACTGAAAGTAATTCTGTTATTTCCTCATTTGATCACAATCCTGATGGTATCAATTGTTTCTCCAAAAAAACAATATCCTCCTGGCAGGAGGTATGTTTGAACACGTGCAGGTAAAGTGTAACCATCAAAGTGCCCTGAAGGTAATGTCTTCAGAATAAAAGCCTTTCCTTTCATTTCCTGCTCTGCAGAGAACAGAATAAAGAATCGGCTGCTCAGCAGGATCCCTGCACAAAACTGACGAGATGGTTGAAAGGTTATTAATATCATAGGTATTTTCTGAAAAGGTTGAAGAATAACACACAATAAACCTCTCAGGGCTGTAAATGTGACCCCTGCTGATTTTAAAGGAGAACCGGATCACGGGGGCAAACAGTGCAATCTAGAGCAATCACCGGCAATTTCAGGCAACGATTTCCACTTTTATCACCCCCTCCCCCTGTTGTCATACTTGGGCAGTTTCCAGGCCTCCTGAGTCTCGTTTTTGTCCCCCCCGCAGGCTTGGTACAGCGCCTCGGTCCAGTCACCGACGATTCGGATGTGGGCGCTGAAGTAGTCCTCCTCAGGGGCGGAGGTCAGGGTGAACGGGTGCCACTCCAGCCTGGAGACGGACGGACACTGGATGAAGACGTACTGACCCACCTCCATGTGGAAACCCTTCTTCTTCATCTGCAGCTCCAGAGTCTTAGACGGGTGCATCACCACCTGACGGACAGGTACGAGTTATTTATGAGGATGAATTGTCAAATCAGAGCTGCAACCAAATCTCACTTTTGACTGCTTAATTTACTTGTTTCAGAAATAGTTAAAACTTTAAAGTGCTGCACAAAGTAATTTAGTGACTTTGCATAATTGCATCATTCAAATCTGGATCTGCATCAAAATATCCCCTAAAGTCGCTGAAGTTTTGGATGCTTGTGAAGGTTTTCCTCCTGCTTGGCCTCCCCATGTTGATATAAATGAGTCCGGCTTGAATCCAAATTTAAATAAATGATGTTCTGTAGCTTTTTATTCAGGAAAAAAGCATCAAAATTTAATCTGATTCCATGTGAACGATGTTGCTTTAGTCAACGTGTTTTAGAATCTGCCAAACAACTACAGGAAAATAGATTCACTCATTTAAAACAAGTGAGTTATTCATTATTTATCTGCATTATAGCACATACTCACCTTTGTGATGACCACTTTCTGATGTGATCGATAGAGGCGGACGAGGCGCTCACACACGTAGAGGATCATGGGCCCAACCACCCACTTCCACGTCTGGTCAGAGAGGAAATAAAGGAAAACAATGACTGCAAATAACAGTAACAGCATAAAGAAGATGTTAAGTGTTTTTAAAGTCTTTGATCAGATGGCATACAAACTGAACCCTCTGCAGTTTTTATCCACTCACCATCGGTGGGTTTCCAGCGAACACCGGGACGGCACAGTTGGAGCCGTTGTTTCCCCAGTTTTCAAACTGGTCGGCACAAGCCTTGGGGTCGCTTGCGTTCAGACTAGTAGGCGTCTGTCCTCGCACGATACGCCTGCGTGCAGTGAAAAGGAATGTTTACTGACTGTACGTTGATCTCAATAGGATTCTAGTAAAAATCTAACAATATCGATTACTTTTTTGATACCACAGCAACAAAAATAGAAAGTTGCAGGCACTTTCTTGTGTTTTATTATCAAAAATTGCTGACAAACTCCTGCACACCGCCTGGATTACAACAGAAATAATTTGGCCCGACCCGAGATGGACCATAATTTACTAAATGAGCATCACACTGTGTTGAAGAAGACTTGAAACTAGAGATTGAGTCTATGAACTCATTAGGAAAATGTTTAACAAGGGAACAAACCAGTGTTGTCGCCTCCTGCTGGCCATAAGAAATAATGCAGGTTTTAGATACTTGTGCATTTGTTTCACTTTTAAACCAAGAATCTGCGTCCACTTCTCGATATAGTTTATGGTTTTTATAATAGAAGAAGTGAAATGCAGCGAGCTGTCTCAGTCACACGTGCACAAAGCTTTTTAAATCAAATGTTAGGAATACAATAACATCTTTAAAAACACAGACTCAAATCAGACTATTCCAGGAAATAAATGAGTAAGTGTGATGATAGGTGTTTTTGTGTCCCCCTACCCGTAGCCGTGGAAAACCAGCCCGATGAAGAAGATGATGAAGAGGTGATGTGTGTACCAGAACACCTCGAAGTACGACCTGCGGATGACCTCCATGGACGAAGTGATGATGAGGATGAGGGCAAGCGTGATGGCGACGCCCGTCAGACCGGCGATGGTGGTGAACATGACGATGGTAGGGTTCTACAACAAGATGCATCATTTCACTCACTACACATCTCACTGATTGGACCTTTAAGTTCAAAATGTCAGATTCAGGAAGTTTGATTCCTTTCCACTCATCAGATGTTGATTCATTATCAGATTTAAAAGCTTTTATTCCCATTTCCACTCTTATAAGATCTAAAAGTTGATTAATCATGGTGTGGGTCGATGTTACAAACAGTTCCTCTCTGTTTTTGAAAGCTATAAACATCCTCGCAGGTCATGTCTATTTGCTAACTCCCTTAATGTACCAACTGCCTGTTTTGTCATTCAGTAGTTCCTCTCACTGCTGCTTGGGATGTAAGGTAAAAAAGGGTACAGTTTGAGGACAGCACATGACCTGATCTTTGAAAATATTGAGGTTGAGAACCAACAAACAGCAGGAGAAATAATCCAGATATTTAGGAAAGTCAAACATTTTCATGCTTAAATGGCAGTGAGAAAGACTTAAAAGATCAGTGTGATGCTTAGGAGCGAAGAAAGAGAAGATTTGTGATTAGACATCACCAAAAAAGTTTGTTCTTTTGCAATAATTTTTGTTTATTTCAGACCTGAGATTCACAAGAAAAAAGTATCTGTAAGAAGCAAAAAGAAGCTGCATATTTTATCACTCGATAAATTCAAAAGATCCACTTCTTTCATGATTTTGGCTTTTAAGGAAAATGCATCTTGAGGCTTTAAAGAGGAAGTTTCTCTAATGACCCTAATATATGGGGACAAATATCTCCAAAGAGGAAGTCTGTTGGATGAAGTAATAGTATTTTCTTTCTGTATGACACATAATGTAGCAATAATGCAGAGGGGATTTCACACATTTAAGCAACACAAAAGGCTTCCAGCTACATGTATGACTGAAGAAGAACAAATGTCTGTCGAGAAGCCCCTTTGGTTTTTCTACAACGCTGACATAAACGTAAATGTTTGATCTCCTCTAACAATATCTTACCGTCTCATTAGTCCTAATGGGGTTCAAGTAGGAGGCGTTGTCCCCGTTGCCAATTTCAGACAGGATGTAAGGTAGAAAGCTGCTGTTTCGATTCAGCTGGGCGTCCATGAAATACTCAAAGTTAAACAGATGTGCGACGATGTGCACGGCTACGAGGAGGACAGAAAGGAGACAAATATAATGAGAAAATTACTTTGAGTTGTAAAAAAAAATTGCTCAATATAACGTCAGGTACTTTCAATTTCACAGCCAAAGAAGGAAATTCGGTGAGATGCAAAAGGCTTTAAACCAATCATGGCTCAGCAGGGCTTTTTATATATTTTGTGTTCAATCAAAAATTAATTCATCTGCAGAAACAAAAAATCTCCAACATGATTGTTTTTCTGCACACACATTTTAAATTGCTTGGAGTACCACAGGGCTCAATCATTTTTTTGCATCTTTTTTTTACAGTTCATGGCATAATAATGTGCAATGATAGCATTTTTATTGTAATTCCCATATTATAAGTCATGGGATGTTAAATTAGGAACATAAACATCTGGCCTCTTCAAAAGATCACATTTGGGCATCTTACGACCTAAAATCAGAGGCATGTTTGCACACATTTGAAAGATATGTTAAATTACCCTGGTGCAGTAAAGGAAAGAGTTATTCTGCTGTTGTTATTTAAACTAAATGCAGGTGGAAGAATTGTTTTTTTAGAGAGAATACCTGTATGAAAGGCGATCATGTATGCCACCAGTTTGTGAAAAGTGATGTTTCGATCGAGTTGTCGAGCTGCGGTGCGGCTGCAGTACTAAAACAAAAAAAGAAAAACAAACATTGCCACCGATCCCTCATCTGCTGCCATTAAATTAAAAGCATTTATTTAAAGTTTTTTAAACCGTCTTGTGTTTTTATGTTTTTTTTTTTGTACCTGGATGGAGCCTCGGAGGAAGGACAGCAGGTTTCTGCAGACTGGCAGCAGAATGAGCATACAGTTGAAGTTGAGGCAGGCGGCGGGAGCTCTGGCCCAGGACAGAGCATGCTGAGAGGTTAAAGAAGAGTCATAGGTTACTTCAAGGTGTCAGTTTTAAATAATATTCAGGAAAAGTCATAGAACACCCAGTGCTGTCCTTTTAGGGAGTTATCAGACTGAACAGATTGAAAGACGCGTGTTTCGCTTCTGCTCGCTCAGATGCAGCTGTGTGTATGTGTGTGTGTGTGTGTGTGTGTGTGTGTGTGTGTGTGTGTGTGTGTGCGTGTGGTGTTGGTTCAGTGCTTTATGAAGCACCTGTCACCGCAGAACAAACTTTAACCCTCACATCAGACCTGCTTCACTTCACTGCCGGCCGCTCTGATTGTTATAGACGGTGTTTAAGATAAGGATTAGTGAGAGTGTGGACGTGTTTGACGCCTCTGAGACACCTGTAAATATCCGTCAGTGTTCTGCAGGTGTGGGGGTTTTCACGCTGTAACAAGAAGGAAGAAACAATTCTTCTGTTCTGATTAAAACTCAGTGACCTTAAATAAGTCGTCACACCTCAAGATCTGGATCTGTAGAGTTGTGTTTCTGTTCCTCTCATCGCATGCGTTCGCTGCACAAAGTTATATCAGTGGTAAGATTTTATGTTTTTTTACTTTCGGCCTCATTAAAGTTAAAGAAACAAGCAACACTGATATGTGTATGTCCCAGAGCGGGAGAGGACGTCTTTGCTTGTTCTTCACCACCAATAGTCAAAATTGAATGTGTTACTTATCATGTAAGACTGAAGAAACCATCAAATGTTCAGACTACACGACTCAGTGTTGTGCTTATAGGATGGCAACCGTAGCATTTACAGGAACTGAAAAAGGCCGACTCCTGTTTTTGGAAATAATTAGTTTCACACTTTCCTAAAGTCTTCACAAGTCGCTTGAAGAAGTTGTTTTTGTGTCTCGCTCTCTGAAGCGTGGATATTGGAATAAGTCGCACTCTGCAGGCTGTTATAGGCCTAATACATAATTAAGAGCGTGAAGGTTTTGATGCATGCTACTTGCTGATGAAGAACTGGAAAAGATCAAAACAGAACTCTTCTAAAGGAATAAAAGTGCACCAGTCCAGGGTGTACCCCGCCCCTCTCGCCCAATGGCAGCTGGGATCAGCTCCAGCCACCCCGCACGGGAAAGCGGAATAGATAATGGATGGATGGGTGGGTGGATGTTTGTTCGCAGCAGAGGCGACTCTGCAGGTCGGACTCACCCCCAGCAGGACTCTGGTGTAAAACCATCTCTCCACCAGGAAGGCCATGTAGAAATGCACAAACAGGAAGGCATTGATCCCCAGCCACACCAGCTGTAACACACATGGCAACTTATTTCAGATATCATCTAAACATCAGCACAAACAGGCATAGATAACTGTGAACAATAATTTAAGAGATATTGTGCTAAGAAATGCGTCAGAGACTTAAACTGTGACGCCCTACATCAGTGTTTGCTAAAGTTTGCTTTGTTTGAATCAATGCCGGAAATGTCTTTATTATCAGTTTTTCGGAAGAAGAAGTGAGGAAGACATGTCTGCAGCTGAAACATATTTAATGTCTTGACCTCTTCATCCTTTGGCTGGGCTCACCGATGTAGGAAAACGATCTTGTCGTGTTTAAATGTGTGAAGCTGAGACTGTTGACCTCAAGTCTAACAAGAACTTTGTCTTCATAAAATAATAAATAAGATGTCCAAAGTTCTGATTTACATCAGTTTCTGCAGGCTTGAAATTCAGCCTTTAGAAGACGTGTTTCTTTAAAACCTAAATTATTGAGGCTAAATCTTCAGCTCCATTCACAGACGTTTGTTTTAGTGATTTTTCAAAACATCAAATATGATAAATATGTACACAAACAAAGTGCTCATCATCCTAAAACTAGAATTAAGAAAAGAGCACAGGACCACAAGCAGGCTCAAAGAAATTATTTAAGATATACTCACAATGACAAAGATAGAGAGTCCCTCATTGGCTGCAAAGTTCCCCATGCTGAGAGAGCTTCTGAAAAGATGTGTGAGTGTGTGGAGGAGAGTGTGTTAGTGTGAGAACAGAGAAGGAAGCAGGAAACAGTGAAGGAGGAGAGTACTCACATTTTATAACCTTTTCAGAAACATATAAGGAAGTGAACCTCTGGTGAAGTACAGCCTGTCGTCACGCCCGTCGCTGCTATTCTCTGTTTTACTTGCTGCGGTTGTTTAATCAAACATACATGTTATCATGAGGGCAAATTCAGAAGACTAATGAGACTTTTGACCGACAGTAGCTCAGTCTGCAGGGACTTTGGAGGGTCGCTGGTTCAAGTCCCAAAGTGTGGAAGTTAGTCCGGCAGCTGGAGAAGTGCCAGACTAACTTCCCGAGTACTGCCGAGGATGCATCAGCTCTGGCGCGCTCCCAGTGTAGCAGCCCCACTCTGACATCTCCCCACTAAAGTCCAGACTCTCTAATGGGGGGGCATAAATAAATACATTTGTCTGCAATCTTTACTCTTTGCTGTTGTAACAATGTAAATTTCCCCATTGTGGGATAAATAAAGGATTATCTTATCTTATTTTAAAAAAGCCCCAAATTAAATCATTAAAAACATTTTTTGAATAAATAAATAGTAAATGTGGCATCTACAGATCCAAACACAAAGTACCTTTCCCCCCCAAGAAGCTGGAATCATGGGTTTATTATGTTGAATTTATCCTCCTGATGAGTCACTGAAGGAATGAGTTAATTATTATCGACTGCCGGGAAGCTTCCCTTCTGCCCTGTGAGTATTTGCTGTCCTTCATTATAACTGAGTCCAGAACGTTCAGGTGACTTTCTTTGCACCTGTAGGTCCATTTGGTTGTAGGTAGAGTCACATATATTCTTAATAAAACACAGACATGCCATGAAACATACAAAGTGCAAAAGCATGCCACATGAGTAAAAGTGTGGAGATTATGATTAACAAGTTGATCTGTAAAAGTTACAGATCCTCGAACTTTAAAACATATAATAAATAAATAAATGAACCATTAAGAAGCTCCACATCAGCTTCACAGCCTGCTATCTCTGTCCCTTCATGAAAATCTCAACAAGCACATCAAGCAGCAAAGAGGAAGAAGGAGAACCCTTAAAACAACTTCCTGTACTGATGTGATCTCCAGACCTCACCTTTGATCTGCACCACGTGCAGCACGTAGTGACAGTAAAATGAAATTATCCAGTGTCTACGTTCAGCCAAAGTTGAATCATCACAGATTCCTTTGTGTGATGGATAATAACGAGGTTATGAGCACTGGATTACTCTGATCCTGAAAGCGGTCTGTTCCTGCTCGAGCTGCTCCCCCCTGGATGAGTGACACAGCTGTGCACATGGGCACCCATCCATGGTAGTGTCGTAGTCAAGACCACATTAACTGAGACCGAGGCATGCCCGAGACCAGAATGCTCTGAGACCGAGACAAGACCAAGACCAAGGCAGGGCGAGACCGAGTCAAAACAAAGACATTTAGGGATCGAGACCTAGACCAGATCAAGACCAATGCAGAATGAGACCAAGAAAAGACCAAGACATTTAGGGATCGAGACAGAGTCCAGACAAAAACCAGAAGCTCCGAGACCGAGACAAGACTAAGACATTTAGGGATCGAGACAGAGTCCAGACAAACCAAGACATTTAGGGATCGAGACAGAGTCCAGACAAAAACCAGAAGCTCCGAGACCGAGACAAGACCAAGACATTTAGGGATCGAGACAGAGTCCAGACAAACCAAGACATTTAGGGATCGAGACAGAGTCCAGACAAAAACCAGAAGCTCCGAGACCGAGACAAGACTAAGACATTTAGGGATCGAGACAGAGTCCAGACAAAAACCAGAAGCTCCGAGACCAAGACAAGACCAAGACATTTAGGGATCGAGACAGAGTCCAGACAAACCAAGACATTTAGGGATCGAGACAGAGTCCAGACAAACCAAGACATTTAGGGATCGAGACAGAGTCCAGACAAAAACCAGAAAGCTCCGAGACCGAGACAAGACCAAGACCAGAAAGCGCCAACACCGAGTCGAGACCAAGATCTGCTCCGTGACAGAGACAAGACCAAGACCAAGACAGTAAGGGATCGAGACCGAGTCATGACAAAGACCAAGGCAGGACAAGAACTAGACAAGACCATACATATGACTGAATAATCACCATCTTGTGTTTAGGGGGCGTGTCCCTCACTTAGACTGTAACAACGGTAAGTTTGCGGCCGTAACCGAGAGATAAAAATCAAATTATGAATGAATTAAAGTTATTAGTTCTTATAGCTGCTCAGTGGTGGTCTCGACTTAAAATCCACCCAGTCTGAGACCGAGGCAAGACCTTCAAAAAGTGAGAACATGCTTGTTTTTGCATCTTTCTAATTGGTGCACACATTTCAGTGACATCAGTATTTTGGCTTTATTAGATGGGACAGCTAAAGAGAGACCGGAAACATGAGGAGGAGAGAGCGTGGGATGACACGCAGCAGAGGGCGGTGTGCGGATTAGGACCCTCCGTACATAACTCGAAGCAATTGATTCTGAAATGGCGCCTTCCTGGTTGCAAAAACTCTGACCCAGGGGACCATTCAGGAGGAACTTGATGCTCAACGGTGACACTTTGAATTAAGGAAGTGACAAATTTCTAAACATGAAGTAAAACAGAAGATGAATTGCCACATGCTTCCTGTTTCTTGCTAAACTGTAGAGACGGAAACACCTGAAGTAGCGTCTAAATGCCTCACTGCAGGACTGAACAACACCAGCATCTTTAGAACAGTTTCAGTGCATCATATGATTATTAAACTTTGATTATTGATTATTAAACTCAGATTAAAGCCGAGCTGCAGCCTTTTCCTTCTCCCTCTCTGTACCTGATCAAGCTCTAAGAAGCTGTCTATGAAACATTTCCCTGCATGTAAGGAGAAGATCCAGCAGTCCCTGAAGTGTTTTTAACTCTGCAGATCTGTTGACTCTTGGGGTACTTGATTTGGGTCTTGAGGATCAGAAGTTGTAGAAAAAGGTTTTCGACTGTTCTTTGGGGGCTTTCTACGGATGTGGAGAGCGTCTTTGTGTCTCAAAAATGTCCACAATCCCTGCTCGAAGTTCAGGGGATGACTTTGGGGTAAGGTTGTCAAAAATCACTCTTAAGAGATTGTAGACTTTAAACTCGTGGTGTCTGATAGCTTCAGAGTTTCGACAACCTCAGACTAACAACAACAGTATCAGGGTTTGTGAAAGTCTGCAGCACTCTGCAGCTCTGGTGCTTTCAGCTCGATTGCTGAACTCCAACTTTCACTCAGGATTATTGTCAGTCAGATCGCTGCTGATTGTCTGCAGGGATTAAACCTCAGCGATTACATCACAACAATGAAGTTTAAATGGAGGGCCTTAGACTACGCTGCATGGACCTAAAACCCTGACCACTGAACTCATAAAGCCCTTCCTGAATGAGGCACCACATACTGTGTTAGATATGTGTCTGATTGTTTTATCTATTATCCAGGGAACTCTCTGAACATGTTCATTTTAACACTCCTCAGAGCTGGTTTCAATTCAACACAATGTTGGTTTGCTACTGCCACCTAGCAGGAAACAGAGTGTGAAGGATGAGTGCATTAAAAGTCACCTGTGCAGAACCACTTTACACTACTTCTATACTTTATGAGAAGTATATATTTCAGAGGTTGTGATGCATTGATGGTTTAATTTGTTCAGCTTTAATGTAAAAAATGAAGACTAGAAGATGTCCAGCTTTCAGAGGCTCGTCATCAGTGTCAAGCTGCGAGAGAAGCGCTAAAACATTTAATTTGACATCATTAAAACGATCAAATGTTTGTAAAAATTGTATTAATGAAGAGAGAAAACAAAAATGACTTCTGTGTGGATGTCTGTGTTTCATCCACGTGTCGGTCGTAGACAGATGGTTGTCGTAGCGAGTTGGGAAAATACATAATTCAGACAGAACAGGGTTGAAGTTTAATTGCAGAGTGACAAACATGAGATGTGACAGAATGAGTGCAATACTGAACACACAACCACACAAACACACACGCACTCACTCATACACACACACAGAAACACACACTCTCACACACACACACACACACACACACACACACACACACACACACACACACACACACACACACACACACATACACAGAAACTCACAATTTGTGTACCACAAAAACATGCATAAGAAAATGCACCATGTCCTCACACCAGCCACATTTATCTTTGGATTTTCTGCTGATCTGGAGGAATAATTTCATAATTGTTTACACAAACATCTTAACACTATTAAGAAATAAATTCACAGAGCTTATTTTTCTTTCCAACACTCCTACGATGACAGAATCTAGCAACGAAACACACAACGTTTGCCTGCAATTTTGAAGATTGAAAACAGAAACTCAGTTGTGGGAAACAGGTCTTGAATCGTTTGATTTTTTTTTACCAGAATCACAAATTGAAGTCTAAATATTAGTTTTTTCTGACAACCCCAGTCTGAGGAGCAGTGGAGGAGAGAGGCTGAACCTGTTTCTTTTTCATTTCCTCCATCTTTAGCCCTAACAATAACAAAATCCCTCCTCCAGACCTGCAGACTCATAAAATGCACCATGAGACAGGACCTAAGGTCTTAATACGCTCTTTGTATAGATGTCTCAGTTCCTGATCCTATAAGTCATCTTTTGCTCAGAACGCTTCTTATTAATAGTGCAGAGATTTGTGCACGTCTGCTGCTGAGAGGTTGATATGCTCATGCAGTAAAACTATCACCTTACGCTGAATTTCTCTGTGTGATTGAGTTATACTCACCCGGATCTTTGATTTCTTTATGTCCTTTGGCATATTTTTGACCGTGTAACATTATATTCTGTGTGTGAAAAAATCTAAATGGTTATGCTCTACCCTGTGACAGAGCTGTAAATGAAAAGTAATTGAAATTGAAAATGAATCTGGTACTCTTTGTGTTAAAACACATAAATAGTTTAGTGCAGAAAGTAGTCATCTTTCCATGATTTGAAATACATTCAAATGTGTTCATTTTCATATCAAAGTTAGTGCTGCTTG